TAATTGAAAGGTTGGCCCTCACTGGTATGACAAGCACAGAGGCCAATGCTCTGGCTGATCAGATGATCCGTGAGGCGGAAAAAAGTAAGTTTGATTGAGTTATTTCCAAATATCCTATGTTGACCAAAGTCCTACTTGCCACTGCAGATATAGCTAACATGCGCGATTCTTCACCGGGCAAAGAATGAGTTATTTGGCTTCTGATGAAGCATTCCCATGGTAAGTAATTTGTTTCATATAAGTTCTCGTTGCTCTGACTGACTTTTGCAAAATGACTTCGGCACGTGTTCATGAAAAATTTAACAGCACTCACAAGGCTTGGAAGAAAAACACATTTAGTTCACAAATGAATCCAAAAAAAATACCGCTTTCATAAGCAATATAAAAAAGGTCAGATCGAATTACCAAATCAAAAGTAATTTTGGGCCGAGCGCGAATGCTCCTAAAAAGGTAGGTTTCCTCTCTTATATTATATCCAAATATGTTTGTAGTTACTATACTATTTAATATGTGTAGCAAACCAAGCAATATAGCAGACTGTTTCAACAAACATGTAAAGGGGACATAATGAGAGAAAGAGAAAAATCCACATTAGTGTGAACTTGAGATAATTGTTGTTATTGGCAAAGCGATCAATAAAGAGACACAAGGATAGAAAGGAGCACCTAATTCAACAACTTTTTAACTTGAGTGCGCTAATGTAGTGCAATTTAGTATATGTTGATAACCTAAATTTAGAAGACAGGAGACATAAAATGAAAGAGATACAACTATTAATCGTTAGACTGATGTGCTAAGTAATATACAACTAGTGAGCCAGTTCATAACTTGCGAAAAGGGCTGCTCGAGTATCGTTTTCATCAGGTGGAAGTTGATCACCATTTGGATAATCTTCTTCTTCTTCGCTCTCAATATTCTCATCCGCTTGACGTGGTGGTTGAAAAAAAACGTTCCCACGGTCTTGCACATCGATCAGAAAGTTGTGAAGCACTACAGTTGCTGACAAATGTAGGTTCAGCCTTCTCGCAGAGTGAAAACCCTTGATAATTACACGACTCTGAAATAATGACTGCCACCAACCCTTCCAAAGCCAATTGGTATTTTCAATCACATACCGGAGGCGGCTGAGTTCTTTGTTAAAAGCCCTTTGCAAGGGGGGAAGGGGCATACCACGAGGCTTCTTGAAGTTTGTAAACAGATATCGAGTGGATGGATAACCAGAATCCCCAATGAGGTATTCGCCTGGGCTAAAGAACTGATCTGGATGTTGCGACAACTATGGACAAAAAGGAAACTGGTCAGTCATAGTCATTAATCATAGAGGAAACTTAAGCATCTATACTAACTTTTGTGTTTCTATACACGCGTGAATCGTGAGCACTGCCGCACCATCCATGACTGGCATATATGATGTGCTTCTGGTCATCGCACACCAGCATCGAGTTGACTGCATAGGTAGACTTACGAGTGCGAAAGTCCTCCATGTTTTTCTCAGGGCCAGTATGTAAGTTGATCAATGTCCCGTCAATGAAGCCTACACACCCTTTGAAAAAACCTTTCTTTGCAACTGCCTCCTTGATTTTCTTTCGACCTATCTCGTCGGGCCAATTGAAAAATCGATGGTTGAGAGCCACAATCGCAATGACACAGCGGTTTGTGTAATTGTACACACTTCCTTCTAAAAGACATGAACAGACACTTCTTCAACATCGTAGAAACTTTCCTTCATGACATAAATCTTACCTGAAATTCCAAAACCAAGGGCGAGCAAACACGGACTAGCACCGTTGCCAGTCAAACCTAGATAAGCCAGTGCTACCAATAGCTGCCATTCTACTGCTGCTTGTGACTGATTTGATTGATTTTCAAACACCGGGTGATCCCCAATCATATTTAGCAATTGAATGAATGACGACTTTTGCATCCGGGCCTATGAAAACATGATAATTGAAATGGCTTGTGGGCAAAGTGTGATAACTGATGTTGGAATGAAGGAACATACCAGGCGCATAAAAACTGCTTCTGGCTCATTGAAGATAATTATGAACCGTTCTGAACACCAACTTCGCCGACCTCGTGAGAAACGTGGGGTTAGGTAGCGACGAGAGTTCATCGCACAGAATTCTATGATCAAATTTTCTATCTGCTGATCGTGCCAAGTCTGTAACATGTGGTGTAGGTTTTGATTTAAATTGTTGCATGATTCAGTGAACCATTTCATACCCAGACTGATAATGGCCATTGATATGCAAATCAGCTTTGTGTTACAAGGAGTTGATTTTCTCAAGAAGGCAGAAAGATGGGCCACTGCGGACACGTATAGAACAGCGGCTAGATTGGAAAGGCCGGCGGATGTGATAGGTGCGTGATACGCAGGGTTGTTTTCGGATAATGTGGTCAGAGTAGCACAAAAAGATGCATGGAGGAGCTGGCGGCGGGTTGGTGGAGCCATACGAAGCTGATAGAAGTGGTGGTAGTTCGTGAAGGTGTTCGTCAAGAGGTGATGTAGCCGGAACTCCAAGGTGCGTGGGGAGGAGAGGTCAGCTGCCGTCAGCTGGAGTCCAAATTTGAGACTTCAAATTCTCAAATCCAACTTTGAGAGACCCCCCAAAAACTTGGAGTCGAACAAAAATCGGCTCGCTTCGTACATCTCACACTCACGTATGTACATCCTTGTACATCTCATACACTTCATGTACAGCTGTACGCAATAACATAGTTCCAAATTTTTGGTCCAAATCTCAAACTCCAAATTTCTTTTTTATATTTGAACAAGTCTACTGACTAATAGTGAACACTCGACAGCACCAAAAATATGTTGATCTGACGTCATGTGCTAACCCAAAAAGTCACTCTTGGCGTCGCTTTAGGGTCATGTGATGGAAGAAAAAAATGGAAGAAGATAAGTAGTGAAAGTCTGTCACAAGTGAGTTGGTACTTACTTACAAAAGAAGGAAGAAGTTTAATGTTGAGTGTGCTTAGGTGTGCTTACCTTGAAGTGCTGCAGAAATTTGACTTTTGAAAACAGGACTATGACATGGAACTTTTTGGTGAAAAATTTCCTTCCGTTGTCGAGGAGCCGCGATTCTCGCTGTTGACTCTTGAGGCTTGCCTGGCCCGCCGCCCAGCAATGCTTTTGTCTAACTTAAGAAAGTCCCTGTCATCTGTCAGATTTTGCAGTCTCGACTCTCGAATCAAACTCGGTCTTTCTTAGCGGTTTATACTTACTTAGAGCATCTCCACCGCGGACCTGATCTGTAAACCAAATACAGAGCCAAAAAAAGCTTGCTGGAAAAACTTTGACAGCTGTATTTTATATCCAGCTTCGTTCCATCCAACGCGCAAATCGGTATAAATTTTTGAGTCGTTTTGAGCTGCCTAAGAGCATCTCCAACGCAGTCGGTATCTGTAAAACTCATACACATCCGAATTGGGCCTGCTGAAGAAGTACAGCAGGCTGTATTCGTTTTTGAGAATTGACTACCTCCAACGCGCACCTGAGGTGCCCCCACCCAAGGTTATGCGGCTGCCGTAAATGCCAGATACTTATCTTCCAAGTTGATAATAAGATGCCATCAATCACAATCGATGATGTGATCATCGATTGTGATCGACTGAATGCGGGAATAAGATTACCACGTTCGTCCAATACGCGGCAACTCTGTCATTCCTCTGTCATTCTCCAAACGTCAAATTTTTCCTAGCGATTTCGAGAACTTGACACGAGAGAACCGCGAAGCTGAAAACGAGGGATCACACACATGGCAACTTGTGACAAATCATGTGCGCGCTGGAGGTTGGTTTTTGTGGCCAAACCGCTAAACGTAAATTACAGCTTACGTTTATGTCTAAATGGCTACGTTAAACTTACGTTTACAGAGTCGCGTTGGAGATGCTCTAAGTTGCCAAACCCTCACCCAATCGAGCCACCAAATAGCCATCAATTGGTTGGACAACGAGAAAATAGGACGCATGTGGTGACTTTATCACCACATGTGCCAAATGTACGTCCAATACTGGGACAATACAGTTTGCTGCAAATATTCGGTTGGTACTTCATATTTCGAGTACTGACCGTGTGAAACAGGGTTTGCTGGATATTGAGGCTCACACGGATGGTGAGCTGTTACGTTTCCAGACCGCGCTGGATGGTCGCTTTGTGACCTAGACCTGCAAACGTAAAATACACCTTACATGTATGTCTGAAACGTTACGTTTGCAGGTCTGCGTTGGAGATGCTCTTACCAAACCAAAAAACATTTCTCAACAACGGCTTTTAACTCGAGGTCGTGTATTTTTCCTCTCGAAACAACATTAAATGTATTAAAAATGAAATGGGTTCTTCCTCAAAAGGTGAGCTGTGAATCAGCGCATCCTTCATTTCTTGGTCCCAAGAGAATTCTTCGGGACGTGGAGGAGATAAAGGCTGATAAAGAACAAAAGAAGTGGCTCCCAGCCAGGAGCCAGGAGCCGCAAGGGCCAACACTCACGAGCCAACACCCTCAGACGTGTCGACAAATACAAGTGCCTGCTGGCAGACGTCAAGACTCGCTTCCGGGCAGACGTCAGGACTCGCTTTCGAACTCTGACAAATGACAGGGGCTTTGTACAAGTTAGTGCTCTTGTAGTTTATTTAACAAGTTTCGCGAGAACTGTTCTGGCTTCAAAATGGCATGCGATTCGGAAATAGCTGTGGTTCACAGACGAGGGCGGACTGGGCGGACACAAACCTAGGCATAGGTTATCTTGAGAATGGAAAGGAGGTGTAGAGATACTTTGATGTCAAATCGATAGAGTCTCCCTGTGACTGTCGTCGAGGGAATTGATTTTGCTTGTTCAGTACATTTGAAATAAACAATTAAGCTTCCGATAAACATATCATTCGGGTTACATAAATACACCCGAACCCGCGAAACCAAGATCTTTCAGAAACGTCTCTTCCATTTAGTTACTCTTTATTTTTGGATGATAAGTTCAAGTGTAAAATAAGATTGTAATCGCCAGTTTCATCTCATTCACCTTCAGTCAAGTTGCACTTTCATTAAAGCATGGACTCGCAGACGGACAATTTACCTTGATCAATCTTCAACGTATCTTTGTTTATTTTTGATTCTTGTGTCGGCCAGATCTCGCCATGCTCTTAAAATTTCGTCGTCACATCGAGGAACAGCGCATGGGCCGTACAGCTCGTGGTGATATGTCGCCACACCATGAACGCGGCCCCTCCGCCTCGACCTCTGTGTACCTTAAGCCGGCGCCTCTGATTATGAAACCGAACGGTCTCGCAACAAGTCGACCAGAGGCAATCAAAGCTGTTGCCGTTGGAAGGTTGCCCGATTCAGTAGAAGGTGATGGGCATATGGGGTTGGGTCAGAACGCTCCTGATCAATTGCGCATCAAAAGGTGAGCTGCTTCGCTACGCTTGATACTTTGATGTCGATTTGCTCAAACTTCATTGTATCTTCTGGCGAACTCTCACTAAATCATCACGCTCGTATCATGGGTGTTATCAACGCCGAGTCCAGTTCCAATGCCCCCCGCGACAAAGTTCCCCTCCGACCCTTAAATGCTCCTTTGCCGCGAGGCGCAGCTCCCGTTCAAATGAGGCTGTCGTCCCCGAATTCTCCAACTCAGCCTTCCACAGAACCTTTAAAGAGGACCATCGAATACAATCTGCCTTTGGCATCTCAGTCAGCTCACGAGCTTGCCTTTCCGAAACAATATCAGCTACCGCCCATAACGATATCGCACAGACTTAGCGTAGCTAATTTGCTAAACCAATCATCCGTAAAGGCAGACTCTCGAATAAACAGTCGCGATTTTGGGGATGCCCGGGAAGCTGCTACGTACGTGGCCATCATGCGAATATGCGCCTCTAATTCGCAAGCTTTTGATTCTAACTTCGAGATCAACCTTGTGCAGGTCCGGTGGTAGGCGCAAGCGAAATTCAATTCTACGAAGAGACAGCTGCAACGATTCTCGAAGCAAGTCACTATCGCGTGGAAGTATAGGCAGCGTTCAACTATCTACCCTTCGGCATCAGAACCAACTGGAGACGCTGGCTAAGCTTGATGGAAGTTTGAAAATCACTGCACCATTTACCCGGCGACTTCAAAATCAACTAGAGAAGCTGTCCAAGTTTGAAGTCAGCAAAGAAGCAGCTGCGCCAACGGAAGCGCAGAGCCAAAGCAAAACCGCCACATCGCCGCCCTCTGATAATAGTCGATTTAGTGCACCATTTCTGGACGTGGACACTGAGGAAGATGACGATTCTGAAGGGTCAACGTCGCCGAGCGATTCTTCTGTCCCGCTGGATGCCGCGCCTCCAGGCTTCGCTGAGACCGACTCACGGCGATCATCGATTTCCACAGTCGAAAGCAAGGCAAGCAACAACGCGGATTCCTGTTATTGGAGTAGTAATTCCCTACCCGGATCTTACCCCGGGTCACCTCTGCCAAATGTCAACAATGAGGCAAGCAATGAAACTATGAGTCCTACCCAGAGGACCACCAAGCATTCTCTTCCTCCAAAGATCTCTCTTTCATCTCTCACTACAATCGAACCTTTCCTCAAATTACCGCGACCTGCGCGATTGGAGTCGTACATTGGGACGAACGACTCACTACTTGCCGACTGGATAGGTAAAGGCTATCGAGTCCTTGTTCTAGCCATCGGGGACTTTTTACTGACGAGATATTCTACAGATCGAAGTGAAATCAAAGGAAATTCCACCGCTGCCAAACCACACTTCGAGAATGGAGACCGAGAGAATGAGAAGGGGACCCGAGACGATGGCCAGATACTTCACCATGATCATTGTTCATTGACAGGTTTACTTACAGTTGAGGAAGATCTTGGTCAAAATCAAGATTTCGCTAGTTTAGCTAAGATACTCGAGCTACATGAGCGGATCATCACTGCTGCCCCTTTCCTGGCGTCGAAGAAGAACAGAAATGGTCGACCAAGTTATGTACCATTCAAGTCATCGCGTTCGCCACGACGTACATAGAGCTCCTGGCCTACGTTTTATTGATATCTATCAGGATCGTATGATTGGTCCGAGGGTTTATAACTTTTGAGAAGAAACCCAGTCTTGTCAATCACATCAAAATAGCGCGCGTGTCAGAAAGCATCCGACGAATCACGCATACACTCGAATCCATTGCGTATATTTGTGGTGCACTTCCACGATCAACTTTTTTGTGCATATTTGACTTGTATTCTAATCTCATTCATTATTGCAATTTGTGAACTAGTTGAGTTGTTTACCTGTTTTTATTTATCGTCGTTTTGCATTTTCTTTTCCGCATTTCTCTTGTCATACAATCCTAGCTGTCTTTTTGTTGTCATTCACTATCACTCGTTAAGCACTAAATCTCTAGATTTCATATCACCGCCAAACCAATGTGCGTTGTTTATAAGCATATATATGATGGGTCAATTGTTAGAGCACCAGTCCATGGTGGCCAAGTCATACAATGTGACTATCCAAACCCTAAGGGGGAAATGAACATCAACATATTCCTGATATACCCACCGAGGCCCAAGAGGTGATCTACAAGTCTTGAGCAGTAAAATGTAGTGAAATATCCAATATATCACAAGTCCAATTGTGCAGATGTTTATGGCAGCCCGAAGCCGAGGCACGAGGGGCTTGCGAAAGCTTGCGAATTAAAATATTTGGAAATGCCCTCAGAGTCGCAGCGCAAATTTAGCCAAAATTACGTCACATTCGCAAGGATCACTTCCTCTTGTCTCTCTGATCAGCCATGTTAACGTGGCAACAGGGAAGCGACAACTAAATCGGTTACTTGACAATGTCACTGTGCTGTAGTGGGCCGCATATGTCAGCTATTTTAACTGGTATGAGGCCACAAAATCCTCTGTGGTACATAGTGTGAAAGAAGTTGAACACCACATACAGACAAACTCATATTTAACACACCTAGGAGGTTTTCAAAGAGAACAAAGGGAAAGACAAACGGGTTCCAAGGGATTCGTGATTTTCCAACATGACGCAATACTTGATAAATTGAAGACATCGTCATAGCTTTCGATCATGGGTTATGCCTCGGTGAATTACGTGCAAGCGCTTTTGGTGAGTCACGTCCAGTTATGAATCAACGCGAGATGGGCTTTGATAAGCTCAACAGGATCTGGAGATTCTGCTTGGAGAAGTTATGCTTCACTTTCAAATCCGCATTTGGCAGTAGATTGGCAAGTGGTAGACTAAGTGGAACTTAAGGAAATGCTGAGGTCGATTACAAGTTGATACACATTTGCCACATCTCTCCATCACAACCTCATCAGTTATCTTACAATACCTCATCATATCATTCACACTTATTCGCATCTTGCACCACACCAATTTTTCATCCAGTAACATCAGCTTCGATTTCGGTCACCTTTGAGTGCTTCCCGAGAAATGAAAGACCGCGAGCCATCCTCGAGACGGGCCAAATCTACCTCTCAGCCCGGCGACACGAATCCTCAACGCCGAGTTTTGAAGAATCCTCAGGCCACGCTAGATAGCGATTCATGTCCATCGGATGATAGTTTCACAAACGAGATGGCTCGACATATCGAAGAAGAGCGCCAGTATTATGAGACGAATCGTGGAAAATCTAGAATAAAGCCTTTCCAACCCTCTAAGCGTCCTATGACAGACGAAGACGAGGATGAGAAGAGGCCAGAACTGAAAGCTCGAAAATGGCGTCCTAAAGAAGGTCAATCGCGGACCTACCTATCATAGCTCCTTTTGTTTTTGAAAGTAGAACCCTTACCAATGATACTAATGCCTCCGCGAACCTTTGGACTATAACCGGGCAGGACGACCTCCCGAACATATGACCCCAGCGGAAGCCGCTCAGCAACGCAAATATAACCCCCTGATCAAATTGCTGGGTAAATCACCTCGCCCAGCCTATTTGGAGCGCAATCCTGACATGATTCCACACCCGCAGATATCAAAATCACTATCGTAGACGCAAAGGATGGGACTGTGCCTCCGGAAGCCTCTGATAACGATTTGCCTCAACGTATAAACAAAAAGGCTTCCAGACTCAAGGCGCCTGCTCACAGTGGCCCACACAATCTGGGCGAGCAGGCTACCTCGCTGTCGTCCAAGGACAACTCGCTGTCATCACGGACTGATCCCACTCCCCGCAAACGTCCAGCCGCCCAGGAACTGGATGATACCCGTCCGACCAAAAGAGACAGACACCAAAAGATGGTAGACCGTAACATACATGATATTGAGACCTCCACATCTTTCACTGATGTTCGCTCCCCTCCGAACCTTGAGTATCGTAGGCCCTAAGCTATCCCAGGATTGAAATTGACACCAGACCGAATTTCCCGATCGAAAATGCCGAGCAAGACTCCATCGGCGCCCTTGACTTTGCCGACGGGTTTACCCTGACAGCAAACATCAACCGCTTCCTGCGTTCTTATCAACGTGATGGTGTGAACTTTTTGCTCAGTCATTATCAGGCCAGAAATGGGGCAATCTTAGCCGATGACATGGGTGAGTGCAACTTCGACCAATACATCAAGGAATCTCTGATTTTGATTTACTCCGCAGGCCTTGGGAAGACAATCCAAGTTATATCGTTCTTGGCGGTAATTATGGGTAAGGCCAGATTCCTTCTTCAAAGCAGAGACGCCCAAATCTGACGTTGATCACTAATATTTCTGGCATCTTTTGTAGCTAAAACAGGAAATGTTCAAGATGTAGGTCGCCGGAGGCAGAAAGTTAACGCCAGTAAGAAGTCGTATCGGCCTTCTGCATTGGGTCCGACGTGCCTTGTTATATGTCCGAACAGTGTGATTGACAATTGGGCCAGAGAATTAGAAACGGTTCGTCATGGTGCTGTCTCTTGAGTTGCATGTCTCCACGAAACATTCCCTTTACTAACCTCTTCCTTTCAAACAGTGGGGCTACTTCGAGGTATATGGTAATTCTCCATTCGAGTGGCTTGACTGCTTATCACATTGATTGTGCGTTGTGGATTTCAGGTTGGCATCCTCAGCAGCACTACAGATGTTGCTCATACTCTCAGGCGCTTCAAAGCAGGCGCTTACGACATCTGTGAGTTTTGATCATTGGATCTACCAAGCTAAGCAGCCTACTAACCACGAGTTTCTGAACACGATTAAACATCGGAAAAGTAATTTCCGGCTTCAATTGTGCAACCAGAATGATCGATGAGATATATGATCTTGACTTTAGTGTTGTGATAGTGAGTTCTTGCAAAGATTTCAAATCAACTCTATCCTGTAATGCCAATCTGGATGTGTCGTTTTCAGGTTGATGAAGCGCAAAGACTGAAAAATCCAACGACGGCAACCTACCGAGCCTGTCAGAGGTTCAAGACAAATGTTCGATTTGGCCTTACTGTAAGATCAGATTACTTTGTTCAAAGAGGATTTACGTCAGTCACAACAGCTCAAGGTTGATAATTTCTTATCCTGCGCGTGTCTCTCAGGGTACTGCTATGCAAAACAATCTTGCGTGAGTACACAATTTCGAACCTTGAAGAGTTTCAACACGCTCAAAGCGATTTTCTGGTCCACACGACATCTAGCGAACTTCACACCTTATTTGATTGGGCCAGGCCATTTGCCCTTGGCACTTACCATATGTGGAAGGCCTTTGTGTCTGACCCAATTCTCCATTCCCGAAAGGCCAATGCGTCTCGGTCTGAAATCAAACTGGGTAAAGTAAGTCAAGACTCGATTTTATCTTCTAACTCAAAACCTGATTATCCTGCGTTTAACTTTTTATACAGGCACGTGCCCTAGCTTTGGTGAACAATTGTTGGCCCGATCTTCAATTAAGGAGGTGAGCTAGATTGTATTGCTTCCACAACATCTGCTCCGCTGACATCTCCTTGATTGTAGAACAAAAGCGGAGATTTTACACGAGGTTAGCAACCAACTCCTTACATACCTGCAAATCGAAACTATTATTCACGCCTTCTTGTCTAGTTACCGTCTAAGAGTGATCGCATCGTGTTGTGCCCTATGACTGCTTCCCAGAGGTAACTGATCATTTCGAATTTTCAATCTGGTGATTAAGACATACGTGCTGTATCAACTGATTCATATGGCATCTTCGATCTCGCGGTGTGATATTTAGGACTGCCTACAAAAACCTCTTGGCGAGTGACGATGTGGTCAATATGATGAAACACACTGAACCGTGTCCCTGCGGTCGAAAGAATACAAAACGGTGATTTTTTTCATTTATCCCCAACAGATCACAACATATCCCGCTCACTACTCACTGTACTCAACTGGATCGTCTTCCAGTCAACCCTTGCCTCGCGGTAAATGTTGTGATCAGGGCTGGTCTAAGAGAATATTCCAAAACCTGACGGTCTGCATGAAAGTAAATCACTCTCCCAAATTCACCTTCAATCCATTTGCTGATGAACCCACATTGTAGATTGCGAACCATCTAGCATTACTCTATCCTAGTATGTTTTCCTTGTGATTTTTATCTACCACATCAGCTTAACTGATGTTGCTTCCGAACTAAATTTACGTCTTGGCTACAGACAAAGAAGACCGCACAGAAAAATACGACCAGGACAGAGAGTTCATCAAAAAGCTGTTCCCAGGAGACTGGACTCATAGGAAGCACCACTATTCCGCTGACGCTGACACTGAATTATGTGGGAAATGGCTAGTCCTTAAACCGCTACTCCAGCAATGGAAGAAGGAAGGTGCAAAGGTCTTGATCTTTTCACAGTGGACCAAAATGATGGACATTTTAAGCTACTGGCTCGAGCAAGATTTTCCTGGGTTAGATAGACCGTCTCACTCTACTCTCAGATCGTTTAAGTTTATTGACCTTTATCTTTTGTTAGATTTGTTCGTCTCGATGGAAAAGTTCCGACTGCCGAGCGCATGGCAAGAGTCGACGAGTTTCAGCGCGATCCCGACAAATTTATATTTCTTGCCAGTACATTGGCTGGTGGCGGTAAGTCTGCTGTCTATACAAAGTGTCCCGACTCAGTTCTGATGTTTTCAACTGGGAACGTCGTGTAGTCGGTCTCAACCTGACTGCGGCAAACAAAGTTGTGGTGAATAGGTTGTCTCTGACGTCGTTGTAAAGTTGTTACCATGTTGTTACTGACAAAATGAATGTTGAACCACCTAGATATTCGACGTACAGTCCCTTTGATACATTACCTTAGAGCATGTTCGCACTCAACTGATTCGGATTGATTTCTCTCATAGCCATCATGGAATCCCAGTAGTGATGCACAAGCAATGGACCGAGTCTGTCGGATTGGTCAAAAACGAAGCGTCGAATGTCTTCGGTTGATCGCCCTTGGCACAGCGGAAGAACTTATCTACCATAGACAAGTTTACAAGACTCACCTTGCGGAAGTAGCGAACACGGCGCGACAACCTGCCAGAAAATTCATAGGAGTGCAAGGTGACAAGAAGGACCAAGGGAACATGTGGGGGTAAGCAGTCTTGATATGGATTGGGAAAAGGCTGTGCCAAAAGTCGTCGGACTGACTGCTAATACGGTCACTAGTGTCAAGAACATATTCCGACTTGAACCAGGGAAGATTGGAGACCAGGACATTGATGGGTAGGGACGATCGTCTATTTTGACTTGACAACAGTTACTGATATTCAAAAACATCATATCTATATTTCATTGGCAAAAGAGACACTGCGGGCGAGGTTTGTGCATTCCATCAGTGTATAGATATAGATGATTCTCTTACATGTGTCGCTTTCATCAATATAGGTACTATTTGCCTTGAACCACCTCGCAACAGAAGGTGCCGCGGGATTGGATGTAAGTGAACTCACTCATCCAACAAGTGAAGCTTTCTTGCTGATAGCAGGTTGTGAGCAGTACGTTGATGATCAGAAAGCCATCATCAAACCCTTCAATTTACCGCAAGAAGGTAAGTGACCAGACTGTCTTCTATGGTCGGTTAATACGATCTTGTCACGCGCTGATTTACTCTTCCACCATTTTCTAGACGTCGCTCTGCCTGCAGACTCTAGCGAGGCGGTTCTACGCAGCTGTCGCGCAGCCAGCTGCTTATCAGATGGAGTATGTTTCCCCCCCCCCCGAGATTCCCAGTCTTCTTGCTGATGTTTTGGTGTGCATTTGTCCGCGTCATGTAGGATACGACCGAAGTGAACCAACGGAATATTCAACCCAACAATAACTCTGTACAGGTGAGAGTTCATGACCCCTTTTGAGAGAATATCTGTTTATTGATTGAGGTCATCAGCTCGATGATTCAAGTGCCGTTCGTGAGATCAGGACGATAAATCGCCAGTCAAAATATGCTACAAGGCACACCAAAACGTTGCTCAATGCACAGGATAATGGAGCAGCAGTCAAAGACAAGGGTGGTGACACGGCCCGAGACGACTCGCCCATCGAGACAAATGAGGATGCTGAACTCATCCAACGTCTTCAAGCTCAGTGCGATGAGGTTAGACAACGAAGAGTTGACTTGAATCAAGGTACGCCCTGTATTGTAAACGCGGCGGCTTGTGCCGTTCCATCTTTGTCGTTGCATGTCTGATATCTATATGCTCTCGTGTTGGGTGTTTGTACTTTAGTGATGGGCTCACGTTATGAGTCTCAAGCACATTTAGCGAGAACATTTTTCAGCTGGCAAAAGAAGAAGCAGGAAAAGTTTATGAAATCGATACGAGAGAGGTTCTAGGTCCGTCCAGCGAGATTGTTTTGTATGCACGTCTTCATGGTTGGCAAGATTCAGTTTGAAGAACAAGCAGAAAGCCTGAAGTGTATGATTGGTCAATTCCAGGAGGTGCCTTGGTTGTGTACATTTGTATATTCAGTGTTTTGAACGGATGTTTCTAGGTAAGTTTCCACACTATTATTTCCTTTATTCGGAAGGTTGCTCATTCGTCTTTCGTGACGGCAGTACCATGTCCTAAGAGTGTTTTCTTCGTTCTTTGATTCGTCATTCTCTGAATTTTTCGTCATCTCAAGATGGTTTCTTTCGCGATTCGTTCTCATTCATCTTACTCTGGTATATATGTTGTGGAATAATTTGTACCTAATCACACCCAAAGCTCATAAAATTGTATCACATCCCTCAGTGGCTTCAATCTTGTTTTCACGCTCTTGTAAAATACCATCAGTTAGTAGGGCCGAGGCGCCGTTTTCTTGACATTCACACTCGTCATCAATGTACACTACATACCTTGCTCAAGATTGTAAATGGTGCTATGTTTCACTTTATCAAATACTTAATTAATCTCTTGATCTGCCATAAGCTGCTATATCAATATAGTGATTAAACGATGAACGTCAATTTTCAGGCTCTATAGAAGGTTGGGTATGATTCACATTCCAATCTCTTTTCAAGGAGGGTGAAATGCGCTGTGTTTGACAAGGTAATTCAACTAAGTACAAGATCCGAGACAGTCCAACACGCCTTGATGGCAAAGCAGTACTTGTGACAAGAACTAATATAGCTTTCAGCGACCTACGACAATATCAAAGCAGCATAGAAGGTTGATTGCCATCCATTGGTCAAATTTGAATTAGTGAACACGGGGGAAATTAGGGGCGAATACGATTTAGTAACCTTGTAAGGATTTTTATGCGATACCAAGGATTGATGAGAGCGGGAAACAGGACATAAAGATCAAGGTCTAAGAGATTCTCTGATTCGTTCGATTTGCTTGAGGACTGCACTCTTGCTAGTTCCACCATAAACGTCTCGCCTTTCAACAGATTTCTCATAGTCAAATACGTCTGCTACATCCTCGGTGAAGAGGGGACATATGCTTTGAAGCTGAGCGAGGGTTAGTTGTGAAAGTGGAACACCCATCTGTTCCGCCATCTTCACTGCGGAACCTGAGATATGATGTGTTTCACGAAAGGGAACCTGAGAGTCAAAGCATGTTAAGTGAGTCCATGCACCTGATTTCAAGACATTCAGGTAGAAAGAAAGTATGGGAGACCACTAGAATAAAACTCACCCCTTTTCGCACCAGGTACTCGGCCAAGTCAGTTGCCAACATATCAGGCGACAATGCCCCTACTAGCTTGTTTGTGTTTATCTTACAGAAAAAAGCATGGTCGATAAATGATTTACGGCTGTACAGATGATGAGATATCTTACCTTCATGGTAGTGATCACCCCTTCGAAGATCCTGAGCGCGGAACCGATCGTGTCAGCAGCATCAAACATGGGTTCTTTGTCTTCTTGTAAGTCCTTGTTGTAAGTGGATGGAAGACCTTTAAGAGTCATCAAGAAACCCGAGAGCTGTTTGTTGATCCAGAGTGTTGAGAACTTGTCAGACGGTGCACGAGGCTACCAAAAATCTTACTACTCAGACAGACCTGGCCAAATGTCCTTCCTGACTTTCCACGTAACAATTCAAGGGAGTCTGGATTTTTCTTTTGAGGCATTATACTCGAACCCGTACTGTGATCAAGATAGAAGAATGATTAGTCATATCATCATAAAATGGCGTTGGTGCTAGATTGAGGTGAACGAGAGTGATGATTACCTATAAGCGTCAGATAATGTTACAAAGCCAAACTCCGCAGAGGAATAGATAATCAAATCTTCTGCAAAACGACTCATGTGGATCATCGTCATTGTGCACCAGAATAAAAATTCCGCCACAAAATCTCGATCAGAGACCGCCTATGAGGATGAGAGAAACATTCATTTTCTACTTGAATACTTGAATCGAGATATATGTACTAACATGCATGGAATTGACCGAGAGACTGTTGAAACGTAAGTCATTCAAAAGCAATTCGCGGTCAATGCTGAAAGGGTTTCCGGCCAGAGGGCCCGATCCAAGAGGTAGAACCGAGATCCTAGGGACCATATCTTGAAGTCGAGACAAGTCTGAAGTGAAAGCGCAAGCGTGCGACATGAGAAAGTGTGACCATCTGATGGGTTGCGCACGCTGAGCACACACGCAAAAATTAGGTGATCATGAGTGAAGGTCGTGACTACATCGTGCATACTCAAGCAGAGCCAATCAGACTACAAACCTGCAGATGAGTGTATCCTGGCATCAAGACATCAATTTCCTGTTCAGCTCGTTGTGTGATCACGGATATGAAGTCTTGCAAGTAGTACATGATCTTCTCAGTCTCCTCCATTAGCCAAATTCGCATATCGGTTGCTACCTGGTCATTTCGACTTCTACCAGTATGTAGTTTGCCTGCAGCCTTTCCTATCTTTTCCGAAAGTCGACGCTCATTTGCAGTATGAATGTCCTCGTCGTCAGCAGTAGGTTTAAAGGTGCCATTTTCCCACTCTGATTCGACTTCTTTGAGACCTCTTTTGATCAAATCGGCTTCTTCAGCACTGATGATCCCAGCCCGGAAGAGACACATTGCATATGCGATAGAACCAGAGATGTCAGCTTTGTAGAGCCTCTTGTCGTAGGACAGAGATTGGTTGAATTCGTGCATGATAGGATCAGTTGCGCCTGTGTAAAGTAATGGGATTGTTCGTCAGTAGATCGTATAAAGCGTCAATTGAGGGATTGGGATCTTGACCTGTAAATCGTCCACCCCATAGTTTTCGCTCTGAGACCTTTTCCTCTGAGATCTTGGATTCCGGTGCTTCATGCTGGACCTTTTCTTGAGTTTGGTTAGTCATTTTATTGCTTGAATGCTTGACTTGAATGGCTTTCGAAATCGTTGGCGATGGTATGTATCTTTCCTTGGTATTGGGTTGTACAATTACATACACACGCCCACTTCAAAAAATTTTTGAGTCTTCCCTGCATACAGCCTTAACCTAACAGTCGCCGCGAAAGGTCATCTTAAAACTTAGGATTCCACTATTTTGAGCCCGGTCGAGAAATTCCCGTAGCCCGTTTGTTTTGGGGCATTACTCGACCTCCCCGATGAAACCCGAGAGACTTATGCCAAATTTGGCCTGAGCCGGACATCAAGGGGCTACATGCTTGGGCTCAAAAACATATCGCAGCCTTGATTTCTACACATTCGTGCCCTACTTCTCAGAGTTGGGCTACACAACTCTTGAAAGGGCTTCAGAGAGCTCCTGCGCCCGGACCGGCCCTTCCATGCACGGACTATGTGGCCACGAGGTAGCCACACAAGCTACCAAGCACATAGGAGAATACATACATAAAGGTCAACTAACCCTCCTTCCACCTTATGTTTCCTCCGTCCGTCGTACTAAGTTTACTTTCTTCAACCCAGGTCTGAACATTCTCGGCCGTTAACAATTTGCGAGTATTGTTTGTTCCTTTGGGAAAATTTTGAGTTTTTGAAATAAAGGCTGTCCACTTTCCAGAGTCCTTGAAAATCGACTTCTTGATCAACGGTGTCATTGATTTTCCAGTAGCAATGTTGATTGCTGCTTCAGCACATGCAGCCTTCAGTTGTTCCAAGTCAAATTGAGTTGAGCTCCAGTGAACCGCACAGTGTGTGCCCTTATAAAGTGCAAAACCCGACTTTTCCTCCTTGTCTAGTACAAAGAATTCACAATCAAAATAAAAAACAAACTCTTCATTCTCCTCAGGTTGGAGTGGTCCTCTTTCAGCTGCTGTTGGTGATGTCTGTGGAATCAAAGTGTGATCAAAAACAAATCAGACAGTGCATTAATCAAATGTTGAAGCAAAAGCATGGAGAAATATAACCATACCTCAGGTAAATCCAGAGTCAAATCCAGAAAGAGAGGGTTCATGTGGGGGTGTAAAACCATGTTGATTTAAGAAAATATCAATATATGAATGGAATGGGACCCAGGGGGTTGAAACCAATCCTACAGCAGGCTGTGATTTTGGGACCCTGAAGTTTTTTTGGGTGCATCGGATTTGGATTTTGGGGACCTGCGCAGCAGCTGCACAGCAGGCTGCGGCCAAATTCGAGCTCACTTCTCTTTCATCAGCGGTCGACCCGGTCAACTTTTTTAGCAAAGGTAGTATCCAGTTCAAACACCCTTCAACCTTTAACAATTGCACAACCCCACAACTCCCACAACCCCATTAATTACTCACATTGCATTATACACACACATCAGCACCATACTCTCTCTGAAGCTTAATTCACTATGTCCACTCCAACCCCACCCGCCTCGCTCACAGTGTTGACATCCAAAGAATTGGAGCCTGCGCGAAGCGCGGAAAAATTCCGCGCGGATATTGGAAGTGCGGAATTTGTACAGACCTATACAGGCTGCTCTCAAAGAGCACCGTCCGATTTGGGATGCTACATAGCTTCCTTTGCACATATTTCATAGCACATCATCTGGAAAGCCGAAGGCGAATCAAATGATTGAATTTTGAAAGAGGCAGGGGATGAGGAGAAACAAGGCCTACCAACTCCCCACCAGTTAATCATCGATAGTATTATCATTTTCTGATCGATCGTTCAAGTCAATCGAAGTCTCAAACAATATCAAGAATCAAGATCAAAGTTTTGAATGATATCGTTTGTTATCTTTGAGACTTTGTTAATTCCGCAAACACTTTCTTTCGAGATGATATCGAAAATAACATTGTTTCTCAATTATTCCAGGTGGATGCTTATGAAGTGATCTAATACCAAGTCAGTAAAGATCGAATTGAGATCCTTACAGATCATAATCATCTTTTTTGATTTCAATTTGCTTCCATACAATCAGAGAGCAACTGGTAATTCGGTTTGTTGAGGAGTCGCTCACGTTGACTTTTTTTGCTGGATGGAACGTTTGTTGGAATGATCCGCATTGGTCATAGCTCCAAAAGGCCCCTCTGCTTTGGGATGCTGAAACAAATGTGCTCACTACTTATACCCTGTATGTTAACCTGTATTTTCCGCACTTTCCGCACTTTCCACCTTGCCTCGGGGAGGCTCCGATGCTCTCTTGACATCTGAAGGCGCACAGCTGATTCAACTGCCTGCTCACTTGTCAAACCCGGCTCAATCACAAGTCATACAGCCCCAGAACCCACCTTACGCGTATCCACCTCCCGGTATCCTGTATCCACAGTTTTCGCAAGGTGCTCATAACCCTCACGAAACTCCGAACCCACACGGACCTCAGCACGCGTACCCTGTAAACCCAAGTCATCCACTGTTTCCACATTATCAACATCAACAACCTACAAACAATATTCCACATCAACAACCTCCAAACTCGTATCAACAACCTAATCACCCTTACCAACACACTACAAGCCATTATCAGCAACCCCACCACCCGTATCAACAACATCACAACCCTTATCAACAACCATTTCAACAACCTTTCAATCCGTATCAACAACCACCTGGAAACAATTTCATTCATTCTCAACCTTCTCAAAACCACTTTCTTCCTCCTCAACCACCTTCTCAACTAACGGCTCCACCACCTGGTCCTTTCCAACATCCCCATCAATATTCAATGAACGGTGGGCCCTTCACCACCCCCATGAATCATTCGACCAATCATGGAATTAACGGTCCCCCTGATACCCCCACCTCTTCTACTCCAGCTTCTATGCCTCCACCTTCAATGTCTACCAACACCTCAATGGCTATTAACTCGAGTTTACCTGGCCCTCTTACTCTTACTCAAGCTACTGCTCCAGCCATTGAAGAACCCAATGTCGAGCCGGACGGTCAGAATATTGCCGAGGCTGTTGAACTTATTCAAAACGAACGCGACACAGATTGGCCGCCAATTGGTAACTTTGTATTTCATGCCCGATTGGACACGTAATCTCTTTTGCTAACAACAAATCAAACTTGTTTTTAATTGTACTGGTGGTAGGAGTTCCACCCGTTCGTTTGTTAGAATCACCTAAAGTGGGCAAGGCCTTTATCGAACTTGAAAACGGCCTGATGTATTTAAATGCCGTCGCACGCCACCAAGGCTTTGCTCTGGCTATCAAGAGCCACAAAACCGAACACCAGCGGACGGTTTGAGTGTATCTTTGGTGCTCACTTGGTGCCAGGCAGTCGTCAGTTGCTCAGCGAAGGACCACTTCTTCAAAGAAGACTGGTTGTTTGTTTGAAATTTCGCTCAACTATTGGACCGGGGTAGATAGATGGGTGGTCAGTAAAGACAAGAAGCACACCGACAAACACCAACATAATCACCCAGCCTTCAACGAACCTCACAACATGGCTATCTACTGACGATTCCCTCCCGAAGTTAGGAATTCCATTGATTTCATGTCTTCTGCCGGTGTTCGCGCAGGCCAGATTTGTAGTCTCCTCAACGTGGAACACGGCTCTCAGCCTTTAGTCCGTGACATACACAACGCACAATATCGTCTCAGGGACACGTGGCTTAATGGTCGAACGCCCATTCAGGGACTATTCGATTTGATTGCTTCATCTCAATGGGCCCATCAAACTCTTACCTCGCCAACCGGTACTCTCCTGAATCTTTTTTTTGCAAGTCCTTCAGCAATCATCCTAGCTCGACGATTCCATACCGTCCTCAGCCTCGATTGTACTTACAAGACAAATCGTTTCAATTTGCCTCTGCTACACATTGTAGGCACTACTAACACCAATCGATCCTTTACCGTGGCAATGTGTTTTCTCAGCAGCAAAAAGCAAAATCAGTACGAGTGGGCTCTATCAAAGCTGAAGGAAGTCGTCTTTCAGAACAAGGACGAGTCTTTTGCTGCTCCAATGCCACAAACCTTCGCCACGGATGCCAAAGCAGCCTTAATCAATGCCATTGGTTCAATTTTTCCTGACTCGGTTCACATCTTGTGCATCTGGCACATCAATCTCAACGTAGCCAAGAATTGCAAGAGTAAGTTCTCAGACGCTGAGTGGTCTGACTTTATGAAGTTATGGAACAAATTTGTCTCATCCTCCACGGACACCGACTATGACACCAATCTCGCAGCTGTAGTTAAGGTGGCCAAAGCGCATGATGTGTTTGCTTACTTGAACAGTACTTGGCTCTATCGAAGCGAGAAATTTGTCGTTTTATTCACATCTAAGACCCTTCACTTTGGGAATTCTTCGACCTCACGGACCGAAGGCAGTCATTACCGTGCAAAACAATTCCTAGACGGCCGTAACAATGATTTTTTAACATGCTTCAACGCGTTTAAACGTTTTGAAGAGCATCAAATGAATGAAATCTCAATTCTAGTAGGTATCGAAATGACTAAGACGCTTCAGGACCTTCCGGAGTTCTTCAAGGATCTCAACGGAGTAGTCTCCCATTTTGCCCTCAAAAAACTCAAGACTCAATATGAAATGCTCCCTGACTCACTTCAAACTCAATGCTCTCACACTTTCACCGGCGCATGGGGACTTCCGTGTAGCCATGAATTAGCTCGACATCGAGACAATCAGGACCACATATTGCCCGATGTCATCCATCACCAATGGAAGCTCGTAATGGACGACCCTCCAGCAACCCACCACGGCCTCGTTGCAGTGGCACGACGTAAATTTGACCAGCTACTTGACCTGCCCGAACATTCACTGCGTAAACTTTTCAGCGAGATCACTCTGTTGCAAACCAGTCGTTACTCACTGGTGCCCATCTTGGACGCCGAGGTGAAAACCGACACTCGCGGGCGCCCTCGTGCCAACACTTCAAAGCGTACTGCTCCTGAAAACGACACGAGCCGATGGAAATCAAATATCGAATTGGAGGAGGCCAGCAAGAAACCTCGGACCTGCAAGTGCAGCTACTGCAACATCGATGGCCACAAAATCACCACATGCCCTCGTCGCCTGGCTCAATCAGCCAAAGCCGGAGTTGTTGACGAACAACCGCCAGTAGCTAGCACTTCTGCAACTTCCTATTCACAAGACTTCGATATCATTCCGCTTACATTATCCGACATCAAAGAAGATGAAAGAGATTCGGCTTCAAATGAAGCATCCGATCATTCAAGCCAAAGTGATCAATCTGACCAATGTGAATCAGATCAAGATCAATCTGAAGACGAGTGTCCCTTTTGTGATGACCCACTTCCAGAGGAACCATCCACAAAACTCCTCACCTTGATGTCCGAACTTCTGGCAATGCAACGTGCGGAGGGTAAACTTGATGTAAGTACTTTTGCTTCCATTCTTTCACACACTCGAGTAATCACAAATTAACCATCATGTTTATTTGTTGAATTCACAGTTCATGCAATACACGGACTTTTGCCACCTACATCAGGCCGAAAGGGAAATAATTCCTTTTGGAATTAGCAATGGATGGCCCATCAACATCCATTTCGAACGTTTAGAAGAGTATGTTTCATTCATCTCTACGTCCTTCACTAACCTCCTAACCCTAAGTGACCATTTATTATGATCTTAGACAAATCAAGGGTCATACCGCCGTCCTTAGCAAAATCGTCAACAAATTAGAAGGTTCTACCTACCTTGAAGACGCAAAGAAGAAGTTGAAGGACAACGGCAAGCGCATTTTTCAAATGTTGGACAATATTGAGGTTGAGCAACCCGGATAGTAAGTCTTTGGAGTCCACAATGGATATATCAATTTCACTGATTATGAATCTTCCAGTTATGGGTATCAAGGTTTTGAGATTATCATGCGAACACTAGAGTCGATTTTCCTGGCAGACCCTTCTTCCTATAATCATCTCAATGCAAAGAAGGCAGCACCTCTCACCCCCGACTTCTACCTTCGGCAGGTGCTCATTCCGGAACTCAGTCTATGCTTGATCGCAACCGATCTCAACTTGGATCCACGTGACCCCAAGGTTCAAGAAACTTTGGAAGCCAGTCGGACTTTTGGCGCCGCGGTATTTCCAATTGAATCAGAGTCTTCGAATTCAATTGAAAAAATAGTGGTCAAAGAAACGAAGGGCAAGAAGGCAATGGCCAGCAGTAGTCAAATTAAGATTAATGCTTCTAATCAATTGCAAAAAAGGGCTCTACTCAAACCTGAAGAACAAATCATCTTGCAGCAACTTCCCAAAATCATAATTCCTTACATCCAGTCGCTCTTTAATCCGCCTGCTTATGGCAATTGTGGCTTCTATGCAATTGCCCAAGCTATCAATATATACAACGACGAATCATACGCATTAGTTCGCCATCAATTGCTTGAAGAGCTTACCTTTTATAGACAGGACCATGAACAGTTGCTTTCAACTCCCCCGACCACGAGTTCCCGAAAGACTCGGATGTCCACTCGGCAAAACAAACCTTACGCCACCGAGGTTATTGAAGACCTGCTTGTGCGACTTCAACCCCAGGGACCCACTTGCACTCGGGCGTTTTGGATGCGCATGCCCTACCTCGGATTCGTCATTGCAAGTACTTACAATCAGCCAGTTATCTGTTTCGATCCGCTTGAAGTCAATTCTTACACCTTCTTCCCTTATCGTACACTGCCTAACAATAACGATCCTATCATACTGGGTTTTGTCAATGGTGACCACTTTGTCAGTTTGGGTAGTGGGCCCCGATTAGTACCATTTCCTGAAGTGTACAACCATAATCACGCATCCACATTCCAACAAATGCCGGAGTGGATAAGAAAGTATCAACTTCAAATGCGTTGGTGGGCAGACCACTGTAATGGCTCAAGTTCAGCATAAGATAGGTTTATTGGTCCACGTCTATCCTTTTCTTCGGTACTTTTTGGTTTTGTATCTGTTTTGTGTCTTTCTTATCTGTTTTGTCTCTTTTCTTTCCCGTTCACTCTCACTCACTGGTTCTCACTGTCTGTTCCAACTTTTGTGTAAATCACTATGTATGCCTCCCTCTTTAAACTATGTTGTATGAAGGTTCTCTATCTATGTATCTGAACGAACTCAATTTGTGCGGTATTTTTTACGATTACGAAATCATTATGCCATGCTACGCTATGTATTGAATGACAATTATGATTCGAGATATGATATTGATAAGTGAGATCGATGTGTGACCTTCTCGTGTCCCATATAGCCAGGTCACTTAGGTTACTTGATGGCATTTGGACGACAAGAGGTCACTCGGCGCGGGCCAGATATGTATAATGTATATGGGTTGCCCTTTTTTTGCCCGTTTCTTGCCCGTTTTTTTTTGAAATAGGGCTACAATTTCTTGGTAGCCCGGTGTCCGGCCCCGGGATCGGGCTACGGGTAGTGATCCGCGGGCTCAAAATAGTGGAATCCAAAACTTAACCCCAACCTTAGTTGAAAAACAGCATCTGCTGGTCAGTATCGATTTGCAATGATGTAGCGCCCGCTGCGTGTCAGTAGCGGGACAAGAGCGACAAACTTGCTGACTGATCACCTCTTTGGCAACCCAGTTCTGAGTTTATTTATTCTCGACTTGCATCTTCCTTCAAGGCCGTAAGAATGATCATGATACATACCTATATGTACTGTGCGTGCTTTTTCCGCATAGTTACTGTGGGGTTTTCTTGCTATGCCACGCCAATGTGGTGAAAAGAAAAGACCTTCAGAGGAGGCTGAGTTTTCTTCAAATACTGCATTCAAGTTATTGTCCTTGAAGGTTCTTGAGCTATTAGATCCTGTCAGCAGGGTTTTTACACGGGGAACTCATATTCCGGTCTTCAGAGCAGATTTACCTCCCAAGCATTTCAGTCCATATAAACAACTGGCAACAAGGGTACTTCAAAGAACACTTGTCAAATTTTTAAAGAAACTTTCCAGGCACATAAGCTATATCAAGCTACGTGATCTGCAGAAAATAGCGCGCTGAGTTTGACACCCTCAACAAGAAGCTTACATCGGGAAAACCATAGGTGTTGCTCTCGAAGGTTAACAAGAGGAGGATCTTTCAATAAGGGAGAGGATATGGGCTCTGACCTGCTCTGACACGTTTAGATTGACCCCAAGCCTGAGTGCCAATCAGAGAGCTGATGGGAATTGGAATAAACGTTGCAGATGGTCCAGTCTTTCGCGGAGATTCAGAGCTCCATCTAGCTCAAGGTATTGACTTGCTGCCCATTGCACAGGATCTTTGGTTGAATCCATCCGTGCAGCGACACGCACATTGAAGTGAGCATTTAATTTTGAACTTTGGACGAAGAAATTAAATGGAATTCTGCTAGTATTAGCAGAAGCACTTCTAAGCACTTGGTAGATCTAAAGTTCTTTCATATATCAAAGAAGACCTCCAAAAACGCCCTGACTACAAATTACCACCAAAGTTCAGAATATTGTATGGAATCCTACTTCAAGAAAGCTTTCCAATCACAGACAAAAATGACTTGGATGACATAGTAGTGCTAGCATGTTTCACAAAGATTGATATTGATTGGCAAGATGGGCTTTGGGTATGTGATTTTTATCTGTTTGCTGAAACAAACAATTTAATGAAGCTTACCTCAAGTTCCACTGTTGATACATTTTGATTTTGTTGTTAGCCTTGGTATTCAGCACATACCACTTGCCCCAGTTGTGGAGGAGAAATTGATAGCTTGAGAAGAGTTTCCATGTTTTTGGTTAGGGTCCGGGACCCCATCACCTCAGCATATTAAACAGAAATCCAATGATGATTCTGGTATCTGGGCTGATGGATCAGGCTTTGAAGATTTTCTGTTTTCATCATGATATCAATTTTTGCAAGATAATTTGATACTCAAGAAACAATAGTTGTAGATCATCTAATTCAATGTCACCATTCACAGGCGCCAAAATCAATGCTCACATACAGGTGAGCATTGTACACTTGCTTGAACACTGGTGTGCTTGAATTCTTCAAAAAACGATTGGTTTTCTTTCAAATTCCTTCAATTGACATTTTTGGTAGTACATACTCAGGTGATCAGGCTGTTTTTGCTCAAATTTTGCTGTGCATTGCTGGAGAATGCTCATTTCCATCTTGGATGAGCGTCCTTTGAGCTCAGTCTCTCAGATGAGTACTCAGAATTAGTTCATGAGTCACTGCATACTCAGAACAGCTCAGACCCTGGTCCAAAATCCCAGATCAGCAGACTCCAAGGCATGCCACTGAGGGTCAGCTGAGGGGCTGAGATGAAGTGAGCACATGGGCCAGCCCTCCCTCAGGCTTCTTTGCTAAGGAATGAAGGCTGAGGAAGGCCTAGTTAATTCTCTCGGTTCCTGTTTATCATGTAATCAGCTGATAAACAGGAAGAAAACAGGAAGAAAAGGGAAAGAATTTGGCAGTAAAATTGAACAAACATTGAAAAAAAACAAGAAAATTTCAACGCTCACCCCAATGCAAGCATCTATTTTTGCCCCTGTTATTGTTCTAAATGCCCAAAATTTATTGGTGTTGAAGGGAGATCATGATTGTTTCAATTAATAAGCTGTAACATTTCAGAAGGATACCAGTCCAACCTGGATGCAAAACCAAGTTTTGCTGTTTTTTTTGACAAAAGCCAGCCTGGGATGATTCCAAGAGGGCTGTCCAGATCCCAAACCTGATTGAGTTGAGCACAGTCTGATCTTAAGGACTCCTAAATAGAACTATTCCCTTGTGAGTCTTTGTGGTACCCACGACTCACATGATCCATTGTATATTCTTGTATGGTTTCATTTTTTATGGATTTGTTCGTTATATAGATACCAGCAGAAACCATTAGGAACAATGTTGGCCAATTCAGGTCTCTAGAAGTGGATCCAAAAGGTTCTAGCTTTTCCAATAAAGTAAAGCCAATCATCTTACTTATTTCTCAAAATTGAGAAGTTGAACTTCATTAAACCTGGCCCCAAGGCAGGTGTCAATTTTGTACAAGCACATTGGTTGTCAAGTCTCAACATCTTGATCAAACACTGGACAATCATTCTGGATAAGGTTCAAGCCTTTTTCCCATGGACCACCTGGACATAGAGATTTGAAGTACAAAAACCATCAATAATCTGTTGTGTAAGAATAGACTCAAGCTTATATGTCATGAATAAACTCTGCCTTTGATTACAGGACAAATGTGGTTTGGATGAAAATTCACTGTGGATGAGAAGCTTGGGAAATAAAAGATTCCTCTTGATCGGAAGGTCTCCAAAAAATATCATAAGAACTCAGTGCATATATCAATAAGAGATTCAACCCTTGGATAGATACCATGCCAGACAGCCAATGTGGGGTTTAGTTTTTTTCTTTGAGAAGCATGACAGGACTTTAGATTGAGTCATTCTCCCATCTACCTCATGCTTTTCTATCCACAAAACCCCCTATTTTCCTTGTACTTGATATGACAGAATGTGAGAGATGGGTGGGATTTTGTGATTTTATCAAGGGGTATTTCATGTTCAATAGCCAGTCTCAAACCTGAACCTGGTACACCAAATTGCCTTTGTTGGTGGCAAATTTGTGTAACTCTGTTGATCAAGTTGATATGTCTTCACAGCTCCTAGCCAAAAATTCAACTAGGTGTACCAGGTTTTTTGAAAACCTGTTTTGGTTTGAGATAGGACCCTGGAATGCTCCTACTGAGCCATCTGACAAAAAATCCTGCTTGGGCCTTCTCAGCCTCAAATATATATGATGAAACAGGTCCTAACTTGGCTTTTGGACCAAAATGCATGTGACCAAAAAGCTCCCAAAAAGACCGGGCTGGAGGATGCTTGTGACAAACAAAGTCCTAATAGGACAGACTCAGACACCAAAACACAAAGCATATCCTGATTTCCAAGGCACATCAAGGCTGCCATTTTGTCACACACACACTTTTTAAATCATGATCAAGGAAAATACCATTCTGTGTGGCGGTGCAGATCTTGACTTACAACCCAGCATGGCCTTGACTGATTCCCACTTCTCATATATGACTGCATACTGGACATTCAGCCTTGATGCATTTGACATCATCTATGTGTTCAAACCATTGGGCAGCGCAAACCTTGTATCAGTCCATGAAAATGAGGCAAGTTATTCAGTCTTTTGGTTGGTTTGCAAAATGCTTCTATCCATAAAGATTGATCAGTCGGTCAAGCAATATGAGGATGAAAGACAATTTTGCTGGCCATTGAGCCAGCTGATACAGAAGACGCTTAGTAAGTCATGTCTTGGTAGTTTTTTAACCATTTTTTTATCTCCTTAACCGACAAAAATCAAATATTATCATCCTTGTTTGCTTGAGATCAAATTACCTGCATGGGCCTTGTGTTGGCTTGGGCTTCTACCAGTTTCCCCAGGATGTTTGTCCAATACTTGGAGCTTTTGACTGGTCCTCAGGACTTCTTATATGCGACAAAAAAGGTCCTGATTTGGACTCTTTTCCAAAGAAAACCAGCTTAACACAGTCAAAAGCGGGGGAGAGCTTCTGACAAAAAAGTCCTCATTTGCTTAAAATTCCATATTTGACCAGAATTTCTTTCCAAAAAGTCCTAATTTTTGTCAGACACCCCGGTAGGGGCCTGCCAGGGTCCTTTTGAGACTGACTAATGTTCTTGACTTCTCCATCCAACTTTTAGGATTGAAACTTACCTTTGGTTGTTTTGATCTCAATCCAGAATCTCTGCATTTTTGACCATGTTGCCTGTCAGTGTTGGGTCATACTGAAAGCTCTGACCCCATGTAATTCTTTCCCTGCAATGGTGCACTGCTCTCAGCAATCTAGCTACATCCTTGTTGTCAGAAAATGAAAGAATAGTTGTGGATAGTAATTTGTTATCTCAATGCTTGAGTAGCAGTATCGATAATCAAGGGTTTCAACTCGTCTTGTCCACTCTAAATGAACCCAATATCTTATCAGCAATTGTTCTGGAAGGTTCAATGACCAAACCAACCTGGAGTTGTTTTCCAATTTTGTTGTTGTGGAGTCCAAGTTTGACATCCTTTGTGAAATTCTAAAATGTGTATTGTGATTTCTCCGATAAGTTTGATAATTTTACAGTTTAACATGGCAACCGAACTTTGAATTAGAATTTCATTACAGTTCATGATTATAAAACCCTACAACCATTGAAGCCGAGGGATAGGAGAAGGTTTTGGATCGCTACAACTGCTTACATATTATCAACTTCTCTCCTCAACTTCACCTTCAACTTCAGCATCCTCAACTTCAGTCTCAATATCAATATCACTATCAACTTCAACCCCAAACTCTGCGAACTTACTTACCATGGCCTCTTACCCATCCGCTGTATTGTTACGAAAACAATTAGCCGGTTAGCACCCTTCTTCGTGATCGTCTCAGTCCCTCCCTTTCCGCTACATCAACTCTATCACCTCTCTTTTCCTCGATCCTCGATCCTATTTACATTCAATTGACTTTCGCACCTTTTTACTTGACACCATCAGAATTCCGCAAACGACCTGTAGATGGTTTCTCGGCTGGATTAGTAGATGATAACGATGTCTACGAATGGGACATCACAATATTTGGGTACATACCACCTCTTGTTGTTGATTGTTTACACAAAGCTTTGGGATCGTTCAAAAGTTTAGGAAACTAACTTTCGGCCTTGCGCCGCGTGAATTATGACTTATGTCTCCAAAAAATGATATCAGTCCATCTGACACTTTATAGTACGTCCTACATCGGGTCAAACGTATAGAGTTTTCTCGAACTAACTCATTGAACCTTGATCGATTTTGTAGTGATGGCGCTTTCCTCAGAGCACGAATGTCATTTCCACAAGAATTTCCGCTACTACCGCCTAAACTCCGATTCACAACTCAAATGTGGCATCCTAACAGTTCTGTCTCCCTCCACTGTTTTTGAACTTGCAAAAATCACCAGAATGAAATGCTGACCAAACCAACTCTTCGTTCTGCGTATACAGTCTACAGTGATGGTACAGTTTGTATCTCCATTCTACACCCTCCAGGCAATGACGAGTATGGATATGAAGACGCAGGCGAACGTTGGTTACCCGTCCACGGCATTGAATCCATTGTTCGTTTTCTTTCCCTGTTGAGTAAAAGACCGACAAGCTAGACTGATCATTCGACCCCACAGCTCGTCTCTGTTACTTCTCTTCTAGCATCTGATAATCCGAATACTGAATCGCCCGCGAACATAGATGCCGCCAAAGAGCTTCGCGATGATCCTGCTGCTTATAAGAAGAAAGTCAGACGACTCGTGCGCAAGAGTGCCGAAGAAGCTTTCGAATGATTCTGTCCACTCTAACCTGTTCAACCCTCTGATCTTCCCTCGTCATTTTTACTCTTTTAGATGTCTTTTGTAGAGGAGACCCGATTGTCTGCGTATGTGTGTATGTGTATGCGTTGTGATCTTAAACATGCTCACAGATGGGTTTCCTTATGTTGTGTTTAAGTCTTTTTCATGTGTTTGATTTTTTTTTCTTGTTAGTGAAAAGGTGAGGAAAAAACGAGAAATGATCAAGGAAAAATCACAATGTTTTTTGAGTTTTAACCTTTTTCTTTTTTTCACCTCAACTTCACTTCAAGTTTTTCCATGACCTCTCATTCATTTCAAGTTTTCCTTCTGCAATCCTGATCACTCTTTTCAAATTGATACAAAATTGTTGCTGGGTTTTCATTCAAGGATCATGATCTCATCAGAAGTACACATGAACCCAGTATCAACAAACCTGTTGTGAATTTGACCTGTAATACAAGGAAAGAAGGGAGCTCTTTAGTAGCTTTGTATTGAACTTGTGCATTACATGTGTGAATGAGATCTGATGATTTCAGACAGGAGTCATCCCAGAAAAAGTAAATCTTCTAGGTATCTCTGCAATAGATTCAGGAATCCTCCTAACACTAATGAAAGACTGTAATCACTGGCAAAAAAGGTTACCACTTGCCATATCTTCTGGTCAAGTCCCATTGAGATGCCCTGTGGCCATCTTGATTGTCCCTGTGTTATGCTATTACAAAGTTTCAACAATTTTTCTATCCACTTGGGTCATCTCACTGTTCCATATCTTGCATTGGCAGTCACACAATCAATCTGCATTTTCATCTCTTTCATCTAAGGGAAAGTTGGGTTGTGTTTTGTATTTGCAATGGTATTGCAAAACATTGATTGGCAAAAATTATGTCAAGAAAAGTTTGACTCCATCCCCGTCATGAAATGAGATCAAATACTACTTTAAATGAACCTTTTTGGACTTGGAAAAAGCTTTCTTCAACACCCTTGAGGCTCCATCATCATCATCAGCCAACACCAGTGAAACTCAGCTTGTTGATTGGACTAACCTTTCATTTTGCACTCAAACACATCAAGTGAAGCATCTAATCAAGTCATAGGCTATCACCAACGCTCGGATCTCAACGTAATCCGCCGTAACGTTATGTAAAACCCATAACGTTACGGTCAACCGTATTAATTCTTAACCGTTCCGTAACGTTGTGGGGGAGCACCGTAGCAAAATGCTCACTTTGGTACGGTTGTGCTGTAATGAAGCGTACCGCGATGCCTATCTCAAGGCCAGATTTCGGTCGTCGCGGCCTATTCTATCCAAAATATGAAAAAAAAAAAAAAAAAAAGATATGATAATGACCTCTTAACGAGAGACAAGAAAAGAAGTAAAATAATAGCAATACTCTTGAGAGAAAATAGATAAGAAAACATCAAAAGATGAGAAAGAAAGGCCACAAAACAGAAGAATATCATAAAAAGCACGAAAATACTAATTTTTTCTTCATGTTGTTGATTAAAGAAGTTAACAAGAAACGAGAAAAACAATTCGAAACGAGAACGATTGATTGCGGGTAGTTGTAAGTAGTAGCAGACAACCCATCATCATCTTCTTCATATCTAGCTCTGGCCTCTCGGTGGCCTGAGAAAATGGGATTATTTGAGTTCCAGTTCCGATTCCGTATCTGTCCGGTGGCCAGGTTTTGAAAGATGTTGGGTCAAAAATCTGCTTGCCCGAATGACTTGACATGACAGCAGAGATACAAGAGCTCGATCGTCCATTTGAGCTTTGGCTAGCTCCATTCGAACATGGAGGTTGAATGAAATGATGAGGTAAACCAGGTCTTGGTCGACGTGAATAGGATTGAGGTGGAGATGATTGAGAGTTTGTAAGGATCAATATGGTTTTGGAAGGCCCCTGCGTGGAGAAAATTGTGGGATGGTATCAGGAATGTGCGAGGTAATGGGTTAAGGGGAAAACCCTGTATGGAACCATAGTCATAACGGGTTTTGTCGCGGTTTACCGTAACGAAGTGGACCCGTAATTGTAATTGGGACCGTAACCGGTTTCTGACACTTGGCATTCCGGTACGGTGGTACCGTAGTGTCAAAAGGCGGAACGCGGTACGGCGCGGACCGTAACGTACCGTACCGCTGACCGTAATGAATCACATACAAGCCATCACCTATATTTTTGTTGAATTTATATCATTCAAATTATTGAAATGATATGAAGAAAATCATTCAAGTGTTTTCAAGGACTTCATCAACTATATCCATTCATCTTGCTCAGTCTGGTTGATTTGATCAACAAATCAAGACCAACTTCAACCCAAGAAGCAGAGATTTTGGAAGATGCTGTTATGCAATTCGCAATTGTGATTATATTCTCTACCAATTGTATGGCATGCTCTGCACAAAAATGGAATCAGTGGGATTGTGGCCTTATTCTCTTTGACTTACTGCCAGAATTAAAGAGGTTCTGGGATGGGAATATGGGTCCTAAGTACCAGATTCCCCTTCTGCTACTGTCAAACAGCTCCATGAATATTTCTTGAGGAGCCATTGTGATATATGTAGTCAATGTTTCAAAATGTGTCTCAATCTGAACAAAGTTACAGGATGTATTGCATGTGATTTGCTTATCTAAATGAGCAGATAACTGAGTAGACCTGTATGTATCTGTCAGCTGAGATTTACTCAGATGTTTGCACATATGTAGCATATGATTTATGGCTCAGATGTGCAGTGCAAAATGATTTGATGACCCCTCTTAATCATGTTGAAGAATATCAGGATTCATATAACTATATAATAGAATTAAAATCTAAAGACTAATTACTGGAGGACTTAAGATCAAGAGATACAAATCAAAAATCAAAAAAAAGTTTGGATACAATCAGAATGGTCATTTCTCTTTCCTTGTTTTGAACGTTTAAAATTCTTACAAGATCATATTGTATGTATTCGGTAAAGCCTCTGTTTTTTCAACTTGAAATCTATTGATGAAGTAGATGAACAAAATCATGTTGACTGTGTCCTTTTAAATCAAAATCTGTTGATCAAGTAGATGAACACAATGATATTGGCAGATTTGGATCTATGTACACCATGGGGTAAGTGGGACATGCCAAAAGCCGGGTTGAGAACAGTTTTTGACATTTTCAATTAAAAAGAAACATGTCTGAGACGTTACTAGATGGGACCAGACAAAAATTTCTCCTGGAACATAACAGTAATCAGAAATTAGGTTGTATCAGACTGTATCCGGCTCAGCCAGGCAAAGATTGAGGATGATAAAATGATTGCATCCTGATAGGATGCCTGCACTTGGCTCAACATATGATCTCAGCCAGGTCTTCCTCACCCTTCATACCCTCTTTGACCACATTTTTCAATCTTTTCAAACCCATAAAACAAGGCAAAAGAGATTGATTGCCCCACGGCCAACATGGACAACTGAACCAATAAGACCGTCTTGTCTGTGTTATTGGAACTGTCTCATCTAGGAACGTCCCAGGCACCGGGTGAGGCCAAGGACATTTACCCCCTGGTGTGGATGGAGAATTTGAAAGTGTCTTCTACTTCAGTGCAGATTTGAGGACAGTGCCTCTATCATATGAATCCTTCTGATGAAAGCAGGTGAATATGACAGTACTTGAAAACCAAAGAATTACCTTACTGCATGACCACTGTGAAGCACATGCATTATCCGTAAAGTTACAGTAGTTACAGCACTGATAATGTAAACAAGTGTGGAAGTTTGATGAATTAAGAGCATCCCCAGCCGTGCCGTAAATTTGTATTGTACGCAGTGTTGCACAGCTTCCACAGGCAAGTGTTTGAGGCAAGTGTTTGAGGCATAAATTTTGAACAATGCACAGCCGTGGTGTCATACAGTACAGCTTGTAGCATATTTTGCAAACTGAGTTATGGCTTACTTGATCATTGAGGGAGATGTTCTGCAGGGAGTGCGGTTGTGGAAGTGGGAGTTATGGGAGAAGCAAGGTACAGACAAATTTAAGGAGCAAGCCAAAATAGAACATATTTGGCCTATTTTGCCTTGCACGGAGGGAATTTCCCTTAGCTATGTGAAAATTTAAGGCATTGGCTGTGGATGATGTTGCCCTAAATTTCCATACAACATGGTTCACGCCACACGGCTGTGGATGCTCTAAGTAAGTTAATGCAAATAGAGTTAGTTACTGCATGTGACAAAGTTAACAACCGCAAACAAGTGCAGATGCTCACATGAGAGTGCGTTTGGTAACTTTCAATTTGGCTGGTCTGCCTGCAAGGTGTAGATTGGCAGGTAGACCACCCCTACCTCAAGGTTTGTACCAGAGCATGGTGTGTTTGGTACACACAATCCAAAACCACTTGAACCACAAGTCATGGGTTTGGACTTGAGAAACAAAAAATTGTGCTTTTCTCAAATTCAATTCCCTTCATTTGAGAAAGAGAATGAGACACCTCCTTTGACAAAGAGAACAAGACACGAAAGGTTGTTTGCCATTTACTTTTGGGGTCATCTGGCAAGAAGCCTCACTTCTCTTGTTTGGATCAGTCCACTCGGCAGTGAGCTTGCGTGTCGTCATTTATTTGGTGGCATATCAAGGTCAAATTTGCAATGGATAACTCCTCTCAGGCTCAGCGACTCTCAGTGTTAGGGGAGCGTAACCGTATCAGTCTTTTTCTGAGACTAACTCGCTCTGAGACTATCCTGAGACAAACAAAAAAGTAAACCGGATGGTGGCTTTTTGTACACTGTCTGTACAGGCTGGTGGCAACTGGTACATATGTATGAAGACTTGAACAAATTCATCATTAAGACTTCAAAGAAGCTGTTAACACTTCGATAACCTCATCAAGAATCAAGAACCTTTGTCGAGTCATCCATGTGCACCTTATATCTATACCTTCAGACTCACTCCAATCCCCCTGAAACATTGTCAAGGGGGTTCTATCGCTACAACCACTTACATATCAAAGTATTGATAATGAAGCAACTTACAAAACAACAAAATGTTATTGGAACAAGCTACTTTGAATGAAAGTAGCAAGCAAAACCGATACAAGAAAAACAATGCATTGTCATCGGAGCGAGATACTTTGATGTAAGAGGTTTCTATCTGTTGTGTTGTCTTGATTTCTTCAAAAACGACTCAGTCGCCATCTTTTCAAACTGTCTCTTTGTATGTATAATCTTCACGAAAAGGACTCGATATCACTTCTTTTCAACCAACCTAAAATGCTTCCAACTTCTGCTTTTCAAGACATCTCATTTTGCATTTTATCAACTCGATTGTCTTTTGTATGTATTATTTTTGACCAATGAAATTGACCAATGGATGTCTAGATGTTCTGTAGTTGGTGGAAGGCTTATAAAGAGAAGGAAGCGCCATGCGAAAAAAAACGCGCCACACAGACCGGGATTGAACTATACCTGTATGTCTCACTGCTTCTCTCAGGTAGTCTCAGAGAAAGACTGATACCGCATCTCTCCCAGTGTTAGGTCCTTTAGCAGAACACTTGCAGGTGTATGGAACTAGCCAAGCCAACCTCGAGGTTTGAGCAAAACATAATCTCGAGGGTGGCTCATTTGACTAGTGGGCCTCTCGAGGTCTACTGTACGTTGTAACGACCATCAAATCTCAAGGGTACACCTCGAATTGTACGTCCAATGTTTTGGCCCATGCTTGTCATACTGACAATCCTTCGTGGGAGTAGGAGCACCTGGGCACGACCGGGGCTTGATGTGGCACTGGGGTGAGTACCCATTGATAATCGCATTGGCAGGTGACCTTTTCATTAATAGAAAACTTTATACATCATTTATCATTTCACGACATTACAAAAAATGAAAGCATTATATAGGGGTAGCAGATTGTACAAGCGTTCAAACTGGATCATTCGAATGTTGATTTGGGTTGAGGAGCAAACACAAAGCAAACGTCAGTTTCTGTTCTTGCAGGTCAAAGTCTAGCATCGAAGATGGAGTGCTGCTGAATGTGTCAGATACCGTTGTGTCTTAATTATCTTAATTCAAGTCATTTAACACGAATGTTATCGGACAGTGTGAATACAGTAATGAAGTAGTCTCATCACTCAAGGCCTTTTCTTTCAACTCTGGAGAGAAAAGGAGCAAAAGCAGAAAGGAAATAGAAAAGTAGGAAAGTGGCTCACCAGATGAGGTCTTGAGGGATGAGGAGGTTATGATGAGTTGGGCGAGCCATGCCGGCGGGCTTGGATAGAGATCGTTTAGCATCGGTTGATGGCGTGGTGTCGAGCAATGGACGGATGTCAAGGTGGACTTTATAGGTCTGGATTTATTGGATATGCACAAGTTGTGGTTGAAGGGCGAATACATATGTTAGGTCAAGCTGAGGGGCTACATCACGTGAGTTCATAGCTGAGGGGATGTCACGGCTTGGAAAAGGTGGTCACGTGCTCGAGATATCATGAGATCCGATTGCGAGAAAAGTTGAAGAACAGCTCAGCATACATACGCACCCAAACCCAGACGAAGGACTGTTTGCGATACGAAAGGACACGCCCAACACCGTGAAGGAAGGGAGCTATCAAAGAGAGGGAGCTACCGATCTGTTATATTAGAACACTTCCATTTCGATTCCTATATCAAGTCTCGATGAGCGCTTCGATCTGGTCTATCCGGAATGGCCTGTAAGCTCTATCAACCGAATTTGTGATCGAAAACGATGGTGCGAAGGTCTCCCTTCACCTGGGCCCATCAACGTAGAAAGACTCGTCTGGCTTGATTTGTTGAAAGCTTTAATCTGATCGAATGATATTTCTGATTTTGCTCCGAAAGCCCCCGAAGCATGAATGTGACCATTGGTGCTCGATCAGTTCGTGGAAATCCAATTCCTCGCGCTTCTAAAATCATTGCAACGGTATGCGCTGCCTATTTTACCACCCAAGATCCCTTTCAAAAATGTTGATAAATGTTAAGAATGTGTTATGATCGGCTGTAGACACACATTCAACCGGCGCGCAATTTTTCCTCTTGCCTCGCCCGACCTCCGGCTCCCAGAACTGCAAGACCCACCGGTATCTGTAATTCAAAAAATCAATGGAGCACCCAACCTTCCCTGAATTCTGCTCGAGCATTTTCACTTTGGCCATTCGGCAGCTCAAAACCTAATGATGAAGCCTTACAGGAAGCGGCTAGCTCCCCTTCCACTGCACTTGACGCATCGAAAGCCACTCCGGATCCCCTCGCGCCTGGCTCGGATCTGAAGACAACCACATTAGAACCTACTCAACTAGCACCATCTGACATCAATCCATTACTACATTCCTCAACTTCTCAAGATCTCCCCATCGTGCCTCAACTCAGCGAAGGTTACACTTCTTCACTTTCAGCTGTACAGGAACTCGGCCAACTCGAATTGCAACACGGATTCCTAGCTTCTTATTCCAGTGGATTGGTCGAAAAGGCCCTGTGTCACGTCCACGACGCACTTGCTCTCCCTTGGTTCCTCACCATCCCAATCGTCATCCTCTCACTTCGTACAGTCCTTATTCCTATCAACATCTGGTCCATGCAAATCGGTGTCCGCAACATGCGCGTCAAACCAAAAATTGATGAGCAAATTCAAGTCATCAAAGAACTTCAAACCAAAGGCGAACAACAGAAAGCCTTCATGAAACAGAATGAATTGAGAGCATTAATGAAAGCTGAAGGATTTCGACCACTAGCGCCACTTGGCTTACCGCTTGTTCAAGGAAGTTTATTTGTTTCATTCTTTTGGGCTTTGAGAGAAATGGGAAATCATCACCTGTTCAGTTTAACGCAAGAAGGCGCCCTCTGGTTTACTGATCTGACCGTTGGTGGACCATGGTACGGATTACCCTTGATCGCTTCGGGTTTGACGCTTTTGAGTGTAGAGGTAAGTGGTTCGTAGTTGATACGGTTATTGAGGGCTTCATTTCTAACGGTCTCCCCTCCCTACTCTAGACTGCGGCTGAAATGGGTGGAATGAAGGCTGGTCAAAGTGAGAAGGTGATGTGGTTCCTGAGAGCCGTAATCCTTGGGACACTGTGGTTGTTCTACGATCTTCCATCCGTAAGTCTTGGAGCCTCCTCTTTACAGTCTCGAAATTATTTGACCGACATATGATCTCATATCCACGTCTCTCAACCACGTAGGCCGTATTCCTTTACTGGTGCACGAACAACTTCTTTTCGCTCCTTTGGGGTACTTTTGTCAGACTTGCTCCTGCTTCACTCAAGAAACTCTTGAAGATTCCCGAAACACCTAAACCTGCACCCAAGACATCAGAAGAGGAAGCAGCCAAGAAACCTGGTTTCATGGATGGATTTTTAGCCATGGCATCTGATGCTAAAAAAGTTGGAGATCTATCACATCCGACTCAGAAGCCTTCATCTGCTCCTAGCACTATTCGAGCCGTGCGACCACCACCACCTAAGATTTGGGATGGTCCGAAGAAGTCTCCTTCGACCATCAAAAAGACGCAGGGTAAAGCTAAGAACTGAGCATGGCGATGGACTCGATATGGCCATTTCACCTTTATACCTCTAACTTGTTTCTATTGCTACCACCCTAAAATTTTGAAAATGAATGAGGATAAAAACATCCTTTTGAAAATCAAATAATCATATGGACGAGTGCTTGACCCAATCCTGATACTTTACCACTACGATATGAATTTGCAATGAGGAATAACTCCACGTGACCCTCGTGCTTTCGAGCTCGACTGTATGGTGAGCATTGATCAATAAAGAGTCTTGCTGATCAATGAGGGATACTATCCTGAGTTTCCACTGCGAACCCACTACTCCCTTGCTATGTTAAACCCCAGCGCGAAGGACTTAGTTAAGTCAGCTGTGCCCCCCCAAGCAGTATGAGTGTCGAGAGACTCGTCTTAGTTCAGGTAAGGAAGCAATTTATTAATCGTGAACAACATGATAATCATCCAGGGGCCAGGTGATTTCACTTTCCATGGAATTGGTTGAACCAGAGACATTTGTAGATATACAAAACAATGTTTATATGGTTTCAAGAGAGATGTTAACACTGAGTATCACGATCACAAGGTACATGACATGGCTCAGCTTCGAGATTATCAACAGGTTTTCGCTAAATAGTCGGATACTCGAGCCTTTTTGCACTTCAAGAGTCCAGTCCAGTAAGTACACCCTCATGTTCAATCACAACAGTTGAAAGGACTCATTGGAGACCAAATGACCAAATGCACGATAAATAGTCATATGAGAAGATTCTGGGAGGATCTGTGTGATGATACCTTAGTTTAAATACGATAAGTCGTTGGTATGATAGAAGTTGAACCAAAATGGCAGGGATATAGCATCATACTTTCACGTTGCAAAACATGATATATTTAATGCCAAAGAAGAAGATTAATTTACATCCCAAAATAAGATATGAGCTATAATTTTTTACCCCATTTTCTAGACCACTTAACAGAATCTTTATGTTTCCTACGCATTTGTTCAGTCAAGTCTCCTTTTTTAGCTTCATAAGCTTCTTCGATCTCAGATCTATATAAACCAAAATAACACAATCAAAAAACGATTAGAATAAAAAAACATAGCATCGTTTCATGAGAAAGAGACTTACATTGTTTCGGTTCTTTTGAATGTTCTCCAACCTATTGTATCGTCAGGTACCATTGAAAACTTACATGTCAAAGAACTTTGATCTCTAAGATTCTCAAATACCGACTTAGGCAAACCAAGAGTATCATCCTCTTCAACAGGTAAAGGAAAAAACAAATGCTTTCTATTCTGAGTATCTGCTTTGACGTTTAGAGAGGTAGACTCAGAGTCTTTGAGTGCCATACGGGAAGGGTGAATTGATGAATTGATTCGATGACTACTTCTTGATCTCGTATCATGTGAAACGACGGGATCTGGTAAGGAAAGTTCGACGTCATCCATGTTTTCGGCTTCTAGTTCGACTCCGATTAATGCATCTTGCAACGTGAAGCCAATCTGATCAGTTTCCTTAGCTTTAAACATATCACTCAAAGTTGATAGTTGTACTTCAGAATGTGGTGTTTGTTTGATGTCTTTGATTCCTTCGATCATAGGTTTTGTGATCAAATTAGAGATGTCCGTTTGAGGCACGAATTCGATAGCATCATCATCCTGTGGTTCCGTATCCATATCCATCCTATTTTTTGCTTCTTTCGCTTTTTGTCTCTCCACTACCGCCCTATAGCCTGGGCCAACTTCTTCCAAGACTTCGTTGTTGTTGGAAGGAAGAGACGTGATCTCTTTCGCCATGTGTAGATAACTCTTACGCTCCGCCTCCAAGTCTGGACTCATTTCAGTAGATTCTCCGGTCTCCTGAACTTGCGAAGTGAGACCATGATCCGTATCTATATCCATCTGAGAGACCTCTACTGATGATACTTCTTCGGTTGCCGATTGAGAACTGGGGCGAGATTTCTTTTTACGTTTTGTGGATTGCGGTGCTCCACCTTTCAATCGGAGTACAGACGGATCGGGTGAACCGCTCTGAGCAGCCTCTGACTCGGACGTAGAGTATGGTGGATATTCCTGTTGCGCATCCATGGTGGTAGAGTGATGGAAGTTACCATTGATCACTTCAACAACTTCTTCGCCTCGAGAATCATCCGCCGACATGTCGTCTAAAATGGCGATATTGACATGAGAGATGTCTGGCCGAGGAGAAGGAGGTCGGGGCTCGAGTTTTCGAAGGATCTCGAGGTAAGACTGACGCTCCGCAGTGAGGGTGGAGGTAACAGGTTTCTGAACGGCAACTGGACTCTTTACCACACCGGGGTCCACTGAGAGAGGAATTGATGTTGTGGCTGAAATTGCCTGAGAAGATGTAGGATTATCGTGGTTCGAGTCTTTGACGTCGTTGATAGGCAGACTGGGATTGGTGTAAGAGTGTAGTTGAACTTCTTCCTCAACTTCAACGTCTTGACCGTCTTTGAGACGCCAGATGACTTTGCCATCGAGATGCTCACACTCCCATATTTTTCTATTCATGTCCTTGATTTTGGTGTCTTTGGCTCCAGCGCGATGCCCGAGACGATAGAGTTCGATTGAGATGGCCCTTGGTCCAACGAGATGAGTGTTCCGACCATTGATAGCAGCACGGTATGATGCAGGATCAATCCGGACTCTACGAGCCCTTGTCAGGGGCTTTGAGCTCACGGGCTGAACTGTGACATCTGCTTCTACGTCGGATTTTTCGGGAGCCAGTGGGGGAAGTGGTCTAGCGGGGCGAGCGATCAAGGGAAATATAGGCAACGAGGTCGCAGGATCCTTTTTCCAGCCCTGGATGTGATGAGGCGAATCATTATCAGCGGTACTCGACGCAAATAATGGACATAAATAAAAACCCACAAAGACACCATCGTGTTTCTTGAAACGCTTGACAGTCATCAATTGCCAATTCTCGCCTTCGTAGCCGTCAACACCTTTTTTTAGTTTACGTCGACGCTTTGCAGCAAGAACTATGGCTGCATTTTCAAGCTCTTCTATCGGATTCTCATCCAAGGTTTCAATAGAAATTCCAGCTTTTTCGAGCGCAGCTCTCTCTATATAATTAGGCTTTGCTAACGCGATTCGCATAGTATGTCCTTTGTAAGTCGTACCGGATAGCAGATTCATGCCTGTCTTCATACTCGTCAATTATCAAAGCACTGAAATATATATCATAATTTGGAAGATGACATTGACTTACATCTATTGAGTTGTTGTTGAGTTGTCTCTAATTCCAAGAATCCATAACGTAGGACGCTACCTATTCCATCCAAAAATCAAATATAAAATTGAATGAGGTCCTAGTTATTTAGTCGAATATCTTCACTTCATATAAGAAAAGATGAGTCACAGGTCGTTCTGACCGTTGGCGTCCAATTTGCCTATTCCATCTACGGCAATGACCTTTCCAAAAGATGAGAATCGCCTTTCGATTTCTTCGGCTGAGACTGATGGCGCTATACCACCGATATGAAGGCGATACTGATGTTGTTCTTGAGAGATGGGCATTTGTTGATGTCAGAAAATCAAGAATGTTTTCTTCTTCAGTCTTTTGTTTACCGAAGCCTTCTGATTATAAAGTGCAATGGTCGATTTGAAGCTTTTCTTGAAGCAGCTCAGCCGAAAAAAAATGGTCTGCAAGTCTACTGTCTATGTAAGCTGTAACATTACATGTCGAGAAATCAGGAATCGAGGTCGGTACCACCTCTCGGGGCCCACCACAGCAACTCTGTACAGCCCAGTCGGGGCCCGGGGGTTGCAACTTGCAACTGTCCACTGTCCAGTGCCAGCGCCACCTGACTCGCTGAGCGCATTTTTACCAATCTTTGCCATATGACAAGAATTGTCCAGAGCTTGCAGTGTGACCTGAATCAAAACCCACTGAAGGTCAGGGGGATGTGATTTTGGCTTTGTTCAGGATAGCTGAGACCTAGATCGGAGATAACAAGGATGGCGAGTGGAAATTGCCGGGATGCCTGTGCCTTTCCTTTGGGATGGACATCTCATCATGCAGTGATCTTACATCTCAGCCATTTATGCATTTCAATATCAAAATTGTACCTTGCACTTTCAGTTTGGCAACGGAGAATGTGACCAATTTTGACAGCCTTTGGGAAGGAATTGGCTGAATTAAGGGAGTCAGCCATCTTTGTGCCTCTCTTATAAGGCCTTGTCAATTCAATCCTCATTTCTCATTTATTTTACTTCCTGATGCTTACAAACCCTACCCTTTTGCGAATATCTGGAAATATATCTACATAAACTTCTTTTCTACCATATCATCCTTGATACTGTATCCCTTGAATTCCTCGTCAAAACATTACTTAAACCTTCAGCGTCTCTGCGGCACTTACGTTCAGAAACGTAAGCTTTGGTCGGTCACATTGAAAGGAGGACTCAATCGAATCAGCATGTACCAAAAGAGTTGAACAAAATCACCGCTTTGAAGACGAATTGATTGGCGCCCATGGACTCTTTTGTTAGCTATCAATGAACATTTGATAGTGTGCGTCAAGAGAGGGGAGCAACAGTACTAGAGATTTGGATCCAATGCCAACCGCCAACAATGCAAGTGGACTCTATCGGTTTCAATACCACAACATAACCGCCTTTGTCAAACGACTTATCCAGAGGGCAGGATGTGGAATTGCTTAGGTTCAGATGGCCTGTTATTCACTTGCAGAAATTCCACTCAATCTCAATCAATTTGTTCTCGTATGTATCCAGAGGAACAGTCGTGGCGACATCTACCATCAAGGACAAATAATTTGTCCCTAAACAGCTCACACAACTGGAAATTGGTTACAAAGCTCCTATCAGCAAGAAGACACGTGGATATCCAGCTAAGAAAGCAAGACTGACCTCAGTGACTCCACTTCCGAGTTGTTAGTGGTGCTTTTGGCGGCAAGAGCCAATGGAACAGAAGGTGGATTCATTCAAGTGTTGCACTTCAGCTTAACAGAACATCTCGGCTCAATCAACGTCCTTAACTTCCAAGAAGCACAAAATCTCCGACATCAGACAAGTACGCTCAGACCACGCACACCTTCAATCACCGCTTCAAGCAGCCGATAGATCCCATCTGCAAATTGCAGGAGGTGGCCACTTGAAGTTCATCACCGTGAAACATACTTGCAAGAGCTCCAGACTTCCAACATCAAGGCATCAAGGGGGAACAACATATCCTTTTGGATCGCGCAGTCTTCAGCCTCATCACCAGATCCTGTGACTCCGCTCGAAGATTCGTGACCAAATGAATTTGGTCAAAGAACATCGATCACTCACACCGTGGGAATCATTAAGTGTGAAACCGGATTGAGCAAAGTCGCGGTGTCCGGGTCCGCGACTTTCTTCAATTGCGGATCTTGTTCGCCATAGGTTTGCTATAGGCTTGCTAGCTTGCATTGAGCTGCCCTTGAGTTGTCCGCCTGAGCTGCAGTACATGTTATACATGTTTTTCTTTTCAATATCCTCAGACCACTCAAGATCATGTATGAGTCATGAGCTTTATCATGTATATGTTACAAGCATCTAGACATATGATACCTCCATTAATCCATACTACAGCCTGAGTGGTTGACTATGTGGAGGGCAGCTCAAGACAAGCTTGCATACCTGTGGCAAACCCATGGCAAACGAGATCCGTGATTGAAGGAAGTTGCAGACCCAGATACCGCGACTTTGCTCAATCCGGTTTCACACTTAATGATTCCCGCGGTGTCAGGAGGGCAAACCACTCTCCCTCCCCTCAGCGTGATTGCCTCTTATTTCCTGCTTCATTCCTATGCACCACTCCTTCTTATGTTGTACTTAGATGAAACAGCCACTAGCGACCTTTTCCCTGAAACAGCCAGAGGGTTTTTACCGGTAGCTAGAATGCATAGTCCTCAATAGCTTTATTGCTATTGAGAGACATCTATAATTATGCAATAAAAAAATATGCCCCCAAACCTTCTAGATACTTGTCGTTTGCTCTCCCCTTAGTATTATAAAGCTGGCTTATGTAAGGTCAAGTGCCATTCACTCTTGCAATAAGGTATCATATCATGATACTTGACTGTTTTGAAGAGTGGACTCGACTTGTTGTACTAAAAGGCAAGTTATTTGGGAAGTCAAAGGCTCCAGTAAGAGTGCTTGGTGAGGAACAGCTCATGTAGTGATAGAAGGTACTGATCATTTAGCTCGAGACCAATCTCACTGTTACGTGCTTCGCATCTAACTTAACTAAGTCCCTCTCGGACGAACGAGTAGTCGAGAGAGGGACTTATACCTTATACCACAACTTTGGCGTATGAGCCGGAGAAGTTTGGCTGGGCACCTTTTCAATCTTCCATATCTCTATAGCCTACAAACAAATATCCTCTGTACCAAAGAAAAGTCCTCTGCGCCTGATCATCCTACACACGCACATCTTTTCAAATCCCTTCTTTGCCGCCAGGGAAGCTCTTAAAAACCGACTTGAAAAATTGTTTTTGTGTAACATTTCAGCGCGTTTGGTGTGAGTTTTTGACAGGCTGGACAGCTTTGTGTCCGATTTTGGTGATTTTTGCAAACTTCACAATTGGATTGCTCCGTGAATTCTGAATCAAATTAGATGTAGGCTACACACATGTGTGTAGATTAAGCAGGCGCATAGCTCTTTTCTTTGGTCCCAAGGACATTTGTTTGCAGGATCCACAGATATGGCGCGTTGAAAAATCCCCCGGCCAAATGTTTCCGGCTCATCCGCCAAAGATTTGGTATAAGGTATAAGTCCCTCTCTCGACTACTCGTTCGTCCGAGAGGGACTTAGTTAAGTTAGGCTTCGCATATTCATTTATGGCCATCTCTGGCAGGCGTACCTTTCGACTCAGCATCAATATCGCGTGCTTCATTGGGCATAAGGAAAACAGCTTGTAGAGTCACTTGATCCCATATTCAGGGACGGACTTTGCAAAAATCAAACCCCATTTCAAGCAGCATCTCATTGTGGATTTCAAGACCCTCCCAGTTCCCACAAGGTAGATAGAAAGGTTGTTCAGCATCTTTGCAGCTGTTTCGAAAATAAATGCTCCTCCTGTTGTTTTTGATCATCTTTTTCATATCCGCCGTTAATTGAGAGGTTGCCCGTCTGGGTTATTTATCCCGATTGGTATCAGAAGTGGAGCTCATGCAGGCTCAAACCCGCTCAAGCGTTGGCATCAAGGGTTGAAGCGGGCTTCAGGCAAGAGAGGTGATTTGACCTCAGGCCGCGTCATCAGCCATTTCCGCGCTTTTCCTACCAGATTGAAAACCTGAAAAATGAAAATACGAAAATGACAGCAAGAAAAATCATTTCAACAGCTGTACAAGTCCTTCCAGACAATCTCACTAAAAGTTTGGGGAAATACGAACCACCGCCCATTTTAGCCTGTTGAAAAGTAAGATATGGTAGCCCGATCTCCGTCTGGCTCATCCCGTGGGCGTCACTTGATATTCGAGTGCTTTGAACCCGCAAAGACAAAAGGACAATAGTCTCCGATTTGGGCCACTGAGCTCTTGAGAGCTGACGCGGCCGCGCGAGGGGCTAATTAATAGGGCGAGAGGCCATTGATGACTGGAAAAATTCCAATTTGACCATCTCCAGTGCAAGCTTCCACACGGGGACGGTCAGAGTGCATTCTGTGAGCTCGATGCACCCAATCCGATACTTCCGATGAGCTCATTTATGTCTTTCTGTGTGACATCACAAGTCCAAGATCATACGCAATCAAAGAGTCCGCGGGCAAGTCCGCGCATGCTAGTTTTACAGGCCAGCACGACCTTTCCATCAAACCGCCATTGAATCAAGGTTTGAATCACGTTACCCAATCGAACGAAATGGTGATCCTTCCTCTATCAAGCTTCCTATCGAGTCAAGATTTGTTCAGCGACACAAGATGAAGCTGACCACGAGCAGGTCCCAGCGCTTTTTCCGGCGCGCACAATAATCCAAAAATGGATCAATTTCGTCCAACCGAGGAGGTTGCTGGGAAGGTCAGCTTGCTATACCTTCCTCCGCCTCGGAGAAGCTTGATTTAATACGTCCTCACGAGAACGAGCCTTTCACATCCTAAGTTGATGTCGCTCATCGTGGAACAGGCCCTCAATCAGCTCGTCTTTCCGAGATCGTAAGCTGATTGAAGCAGGATTCAGTCAAGTGCGATACACGCCTTGATTGATTTGTGTTTTCGACTTACTGAAGCAAAACTTGACCCTTTACTCTGATGACCTTCCACCAATCTGAGTCACTTTAAATACCCTCAGCTTGCCTGTCCGGTCTGTCATTCTTTCAAGAACCAAGCAGCTCGCACACCCCATCTGCCCTTAACTTATCCATTCTTTATTTTTTCGATATCGATACCCTTTCGAACTAAAGCTTCTCTACCTAATCCTACATAACTCAACATGAAATCCAACTTCATTGCCATCTGCACCATTGCTGTTGCGCTTGGTAAGTCAGCTCTAGCTTGAGTTCTCGATGATCGAATCACTGACGTATTACCGTCTGCTGTTTGTCTAGCTGCTCAGGCAGGAGCTGCAAGCCTCATGCCCGACATGGGTGCCATGTATGCTGTTCTTTGGACTCTATGCTTCTTTTGCTAGCCTGATATGTCCGTTATTTTTCTTCCGTCCAATCTTCAGGTCCGCCCTTCCACAAGACGTTATGGAATCAATGAACCCAGCAAATCTTCTCGGTTCTGGCACTGCTGAGCCCGAAGATGCTCAAGACTTTGCTAAGAGAGATCTTTCAAACCGGGGCCTCCTCGCTGTCAGTATCATCTTAATGACTTGCGATGACTTCTTTCCTCGTCACTACCAGGATACCACTTATACAAAAGACGGCCACTTGCTGTTGCTCTAGGCCGCCTTACCGCTGGCCACCTTTGCCTCCAGTGAAACTAAAGATGTTCCACTTCTTCAAGGTCTTATCAAGAGAGACGAGGATCAATCAATCAATGTTGACCTCGACCTTACGGATGACCTGGAGAAGCGTGGCTTACTCGCTGTCAGTCTAACTCTTTTGTCTATCTAGTCGTGTCGTATCCTTACATCCTTAGTCATCTTTTAGTCCGCTCTCCCCGTGATAACCTTGCTCAAGAGCGAAACTGGAAATGCTCCACTCACCAAAGGCCTTTTGAAACGCGACCTGTTTTCTGTAAGCACTGCTACAGCCTTCCCATTTTCAGTTTTGCGCCGCTGGTGATCCTCTTCGCGTAACTTGAAGTTTACTAAATGACCGATGTTGCAGAGCCTACCAGTTCTCTCTGATCTTCCCTTGGGTGAAGAGGGTCTTCCCATTGTTGGATCCGTCCTGAAGAGGGATTTACTTTCGGTGAGTCGATTGACTTTCAGAAGTTCTTTTTCTGCACGTGCTGTCGTCCCTTGACTGACAAGCCTGGTCTTATGGTCACTTATGCTGTAGAGCCTACCAGTTCTCTCTGCTCTTCCCTTGGGTGAGGAGGGTCTTCCCCTCGTTGGATCCGTCTTGAAGAGGGATTTACTTTCGGTGAGTCGATTGACTTTCAGAAGTTCTTTTTCTGCACGTGCCCTCGTCCCTTGACTGACAAGCCTGGTCTTATGGCCACTTATGCTGTAGAGCCTACCAGTTCTCTCTGCTCTTCCCTTGGGTGAGGAGGGTCTTCCCCTCGTTGGATCCGTCTTGAAGAGGGATTTACTTTCGGTGAGTCGATTGGCTTTCAGAAGCTTTTTCTGCACGTACTGTCGTCCCTTGACTGACAAGCCTGGTCTTATGGCCACTTATGCTGTAGAGCCTACCAGTTCTCTCTGCTCTTCCCTTGGGTGAGGAGGGTCTTCCCCTCGTTGGATCCGTCTTGAAGAGGGATCTTCTCTCAGTAAGTTCACTCACTCGTCTCAATCGAATCTCAAATCACTTGGGAGCTGATATCATTCCTGTGTCTTGTGAACATTTGTAGGATGTTGTACCCATGGAATTAGTGAATGACTCCCTCGGCTCCCTTACTGGCTTCAAGAAGGTCCGACGTTCATCTCGCGATTAGGCGAAACTGCTTTGCTATGGAAGGGACATTAGCTAGGCTAATCTCTTATATTTCCAGTTGTCCTCCGTCTTGTATTGCGTCTTTCTATTTATTGTTTGTAGCCTGCGCTGTCAAGCCCTATGGCTATCTCTATGTCGCTACATCCTGCATGTATCTCTTCAACTTGATGTGGCATTCACCCCATTTCCACCCGAAATAATTCAAGTAGTAATCTTCACTATCGAGGAGCTTGGAAGTACCCCATGACTTCATGGTGGTGCCACAGAAATGGCCTCAACCGATCGCTGCTCGTTGATTGCCCTCTTGCGGAGCAGTTTACATAATATCTTTTCGGTTTCAATATCATCGACTTCCGATTTGCGCATTTATCATACCTATAGAATCCCGGCGTGTGCTCCTGTATGCTCTGACTTCTGCTACTCAATGAATTATGATCTACTTGGATCTCGATCAGATAGACGCATTCGTCTAGAATTGGGATATCAATTTTATGATTGGTGTCACTCCAGCTCCTCAGTTCCCCAGACGAATAAAGTGATCACTAAAGGAGAGAAAAAGTCAGTATCATCAGACTAAGCAAAGCATGAAGCTAAACTGAATTCATGCTAGTTCAAACTTTAACCTCGTCCACTGTTGACCTCGTCTCTCAATATCAGAACTTATGCTAGGTGAACCCGTCACCATTTTCAAATTGCCTACCAGAAACATAAACATTTCCCCATTCTCTCTGTTATCATTCCTTTGTCTTCAGGGTTCTTGGTTCTCAAACTCTATGAACGGCTAAATCCTTTGTTCCTGCCTAAGGCTAAAATGTATGCAATTAGAAAATATCTTATTTTTGGATTGGAGCCATTTGAAGATTTACATACTCCGCTGTAACGCATGAAGAGCCCAGCTTGTGACACCAGAAATACAAGTCTGGTCCCAGCACACCAAATCATGATGCTGTATCACTTGAACATAACAAATATGTACAATGTATCTGTGCCTGAACAAGATCAATCTTAGTGCAGTAGAGACAAGCTCAAGATAAAGAGCACAATGTGTTCAGCCAGCATTCATTGCAAAAATTGACAGAGTCAAGATTTACAATTTGAATAAGGGTTCAAAGGCTTCTTCTGCAAATCATTTTACTCTAGAGAACTTCAAGAGTACTGCAGGCTGCTATATGGCCTCAGAATTTGAATGCTATTGCCAAACATTTAGCACTGCCCAAATTTGGGTATCACTTCCACGAGATTTATCTCTGAGAGCCAGAACTATCAACCTTGTTGTTCTCACACTACTTATCACAAAGCATCTTTAGCTCTAGCGAGCTGTAGTCAAATCCAAGCTCAAAAATTTCAATGCAAAATCAACCTGAAAACTCGTTTTCTCAATTCATTCCGCTTTGATTTTTGTCTTTCCTCTCCAAAAACAACATTTTTTTCATTTATTGTTAAATCTAGAAGAAACAAGATCTTAAAACTAATTCCATCTCACTTACATTTTCAAAAAAAACTAATCATACGATGCAAAATCTCTCACACTACACAAATTCCACAAAAACTAACTAAAAGATTCCATCCTCCATCAACGACAAAAAATCCATTCCTCTTCCTCTTTGATAATCAATTTGGTTTCTAGAAGGAAACAAAAACCTCGTCACCTCTTCTCAGGTTTATTTTAGATTTGATTTATTTTATCATTTCAATTTTTTTGTCTATGGTTTTCAATTGATTTCTTGATCGAACCCCGTTTTCATTCTATCTCTATAACTCGTCCTTTGGTACAGGTGGTGTCTGTCCCTTTGCTCCCTCTTCCTTAGCCTTCTGCTGCTGTTGTTGTTGCTTACCTTCTGTATCTTTTGGTGGCTCTTCTCCTGTTGGTTCTGCTTTCTGAGCCTTCTCAGCTTTAGCACTGTATGCAGGTGTTTTGGTCTTCTTGACTTTTCTTCCGAGTAGTTTCTTAACCTCAGCTGTAATCACAGTTGACCGAACCCCAAGTTCCGATGCTTTCACCAATACGTCCTTCTTTTGATCTTGTTCAGCCTGTTTGGCCTTGATGTCTACAAACCATTTATTTTGATCTTCGATCAATTTCTTCAATCCTTCTACATCTTCAGTTGTATAATTCAATGGGTTTTCGTTCGATTCAACTTTTTCTTGGATCAACTTTTCGGCTGCTCGGGCATTGTCCAATGCAGTCTCTAATCCTTTGTAAGCTTCAGGTCTCTTTTCGGTTTCCATAATTCGATCTGTGATCTTCTTTTCCAATCCTCTGAACACGTGAATTAAAAATCAAGCAGATAGCATCAGTCACGTCTTGCACTCTCTTGTACCTATCCGTTTATTCATCTACTCGTAACTCACTCTAGATCCGTCTTCTTGGACTTCAACTCCTTCACAGGTGCACTCTCACCCCAGTCATTCAACCAATCTGAAACTTCTTCCCTTGATTTCTCTAATGCTGCCAATTCTTCTTCCGTACTATAACTCTTGAACACATCTTGGGTGATTCGATCCCTTAGTTTATAAGTATAAGCTTCCAAAACATTTCGGGCTTCTTCTTTCGTCTTCTTTCGTGTTTCTGCTGCTTTCAATTCTCGAAGTCTAAACAAATGCATCTCAGTAAAGTCAGAAAGCTATTGAAATAAAGATAGCAGCTTACAGTTTTCCGGAACTGATGCGATCCATAGTTGACATCGGCCTGATACCCAATTCCTGACGAATGATCTGTAATTTGACGACTACATCTTCAACCTTTGTCGCACCAGCCTTTCCAGCCTCATCCGCTGCCTTGTTCTCAGCCTTTAAAGCTTCCTTAGCTTTTTCCACATTACTCTTTTTCGTTTCCGGTTCCTTCTTGTCACCTTCCTCTACAATTTCTTCATCTTCCCCTTCTTCCTTTTTAGTGGAACCACCAAAGAACCCTGCAATCTTATCTGCAATACCTGAGTTTGCATTGGAACCAGCTGGAATTAAGAGTGAGGCATCAGAAACTGATAAGATACCGAAATCATCTAATCGAACTGTGATTGAGGCGGTGCTGTTTTTCATGGGTACGGTGATCCCAGTCGTATTGGTATAGTTGGCTAATGCAGCGGATATTCCATGAATTGTTGCATTAAGAATGGAGTTAGGAAAGCTAGTCCAAAAGCAAACGGTTATTCGGGTTAAACTTATACCATTTTATAGAACGAGACGGCTTGATAAGCGTAGCCAATAGACTCACTACGACGGTTGATTATCATACTCAAATATGATCGAGAGATCTTCCTGAACCTTGATTTTCATTACTTTCTTCTTTCCACCCAACTTGGAGCCAACTTTGAACAAAGTCGACTTCAAGGTCTTTGGTTGGCCAGCTGGAGTAGTAGTCGCAATTGAAGATACATTATAGGAAGCAGAGATGGAGTGAGGGGTGACGGTGGTGATTCGAATGTCTTTGGTTTTGAATTGTCGACTAATGCCTGCTCCATAGAGTGCCGCTCCCATCACCGCTGCTTCGTCTGCGTTGACATTGACTGCTACTTTGTCTCTATAGGGGTTTTGATAAAAACTGGTTAGCTACAAGATGATGGATTTGGTGAGATTCTCTGCGGGCTCACTCTCCGACCAAGGCTTTGACGGCGGTTTGAATCATGGGTACCCTTGAAGAACCTCCCACCAAGATCACGGATTTGATGTCTGCCTGTGATATGATATTCAAAGTTCGTAAGTACACAGCATCATTCCAACAGGCAGGGATGGATAATTTGCATAAGCTGATGTGTTTAGAAATTAATACTCACCAATGTGAGATCAGCGCTCTTGAGAGCGTCAAGAATCGGTTGAGTGAACTTTGAGGTGTCATCGGCGAAAAGAGCTTCAAAGTCTTGACGAGTGATCGAGGATTTAAAATCGAGATCATCAACCAAGCCTTCAATCTAAAAGTATGAAATGAAAGTGAACAGCCTCAGACAGAGAGCGAAAGTATTTAGCATGGCAGATGAAAGCACATACTCGGGATTGACTTTCAGCATTCGCACTAAGGACATGTTTAACACGACCGGCCTCTCGTAGCAATTTGATCATTGCTCGATCATTTCCTGCGACCTTGACCTTGTGTTGAGTTTCAAAGTCTTGTTGTAATCGATCCCGAATCTTTCGATCAAAGTAAAATCCACCAAATTCACGCTCAAAACCAAATCCTTTCAATTCAATCATTGTTACATTCTTCTTGATCTTTGAAGTAGCATGAATCTTTTCTTCCTCCATCCAAAACCCAACCACAGAAGCTTTGATGGAAGCTGCACCAACATCGTAGATGAGATGAGTTTCAGACGAAGCCTTGTTTCCAAAACTTCTCATCATTGCATAATTCACTGCCACACTCGAACCATCATCGATCAAGGTTAAAACTTTTAATCCAGCCAATTCTGCTGCATCTAAGATTGCTTTTCGTTCGAATTGATTAAAGAATCCAGGTACGGTGATGATCGCATCGACTATCCTTTCTCCTGCGCCTGCTAATGCCGGATTCGGATTGGCTAGACTAGCTGCGTCAGCTAACTCTCTTGCATACGTAAATTGTAATGCTAGTAGTTCTTCCGGTTGATATGATATATGAGTTGAATTCGGTTTGACAGGTAGGTTCGGTATTAATTTCAGTGTACCACGATCGGTGACGTTCAAAGGAATATTGTAGAGAGATTGATGGAATTTGACCAATGGTGAATCAGCTGGTTGACCGAGAAGTAGCTTCATACCAGGATATGAATTTTGTGGATATCTTCCAGCCTGTGAATATGCAAAGTGTGGGTAAGTTGGAGATATACTTACTACAAGGAGAAATAAAGTCTAATGATATCTTACAAGAGCTGCTGCATCATCTCCTATCAATTTATCCTCACCACGAATTGAGACTACTGATTGAGTTTTACGTTTTGAGTCATGATTCAACAAGACATCAAATGACAAGCCTGGCTGGACCAGAGAGATTTGCATATATTCTGAAAGGTTGAGACATGATTAGCTTCTCAAGTGACAGTGATCAGGTATACCAAGAAAATAGAACTGACGAGCTCCATAATCGATGGCAAGTATGCCACGAGACAAGACAGTTGGGAGAAAGCAGGTCGAGAGTGATAAAATTGAGAGGGAAAGGAGACGGATGGGCGACATCCTTCTTCCTTTTAGTTGGCTTATGATTTGATGTAACTTTTGTTCTTTTGTGGTGTGATGTGATGTGTTGAAGATAAAATGCTGCTGCTGCTGATGTGGAAGGTGAGTTGGCGTTGGTGGTGATGTTACATACAGATCTACTTAACCTGTAACACAGGCTCAGCTATCTCCCAACACAAGCATATTTATGTATCATATGCCCATAGCGAACAAGCACCACTCACTTTTTCCCATCATCCAACAGGCTCAAACATCAAATCCTCATTCCCATTGCAACACATTCAACCCATTCTTTCAACATAAGCTAGGTGAAGATAATGACAAATTCACAACCCAACTTCCAGTTGACCCGTCCAATCTCTTCATCAAACTAAATAAACATTTGACACTCATTCGAGAAGACAAAGCTATGGCCATCCTTGGCACTAATCTCACAATGACACCAGATCATACACTTGGATGGCTCTAGAATCCCAACTGAGAACACAATGGCAGCTCTGTGATGCCAAAACACTAACAAATAAAATGCACAGCATCATGATGACATCTATCAAGCCAAGGGCAGTGGTGTACATATAGGCCTCACAATTGCATTACAAACACAAACCACACACACAAGAGGAATTCCAATCTTACTCCAAAATTAATCAGTTATAAAGGACCAGGTCAACTGTCTACCCACCATTGCCTCCCCATTATATAGGAAGGAAAAATTCAAGCTTCTCACATGCTGAACCCAGGTCTTTCCAAATGCAAAAGTTGCCATCCAGTGGTGCCCAGGCCACTGTGACATCAAGGCTAATGAGGTAGTTGATTGTGATGCCCTGCCTGATGCACAGGATAACAGGTCGTTTGTCTTTATATTCTATAAGACTTTCTGGTCTGGTCTTTTAGTCAGAAGTCTTTTCTGAAAAGTTGGATATGACAATGAAAATTTCAATAAGAAAAAGGAAACTAATCACTAAGAAAGTGGAACCTATTTATACTAAAGCCAACATAAACTGGAACAGCAGAAACAATATCTAATAACAAACAGAAAAAACTACAGTAAGTATTGATAGTTCTTTTCATGATTCAAGAAAGTTATGGTAGTTGTAAGCAATAAAACAAAATACAGAAGATAAAAAACAATACTAAGCTAAACACAAGTAACCCATACAGAACTAGCTAAAAGGGAATTTTCTTTTCATGACATTGATAAAATTGCTAGTAGCTTGGCAAAAGAAGACTTATCAAGCACCTTTATGTCCACCCCACCCTTGCAGGTTTCACCACCACTATAAAGGTGTGGTCCAAATCAGAAGAGAACATCTTCATGCTTACCAAGATCAAACAACAAGGTCACAAGTATTCAAATCAGCAGTGAAACACCTCAAAGTGTTAAGCCTCCTCTTGAAACACAAAGGTGCCACCATTACACAGCTGAGATCAAACCATATTTATCTCAAGCAATACCTCTTCAAACACCAATATTGTTTGACCCCTTGTTCAAATTCCAAGAGGGAATCAAAACAATTGATTATGTTCTCTTCATATGCCACATACACATACATCAACAAAACAAACTCACAGAAGCCATCAATGAACTTCCACTAAAGAAACCACAGATATATTCAAGAACCCAAAAGCTTTTGAGAGCATTTCCAATTATTGCAACTCAACTTGGTGGCTTAAAACCCCTGGGTATCCATAACCAACAAGGCCACCCCTCAAGACAACCATTCACAACCTCCCTTTCTAATTATTTGTGACCTCATCCTCTAGCATCACCACATATATCCCATTAACACTTGTAATACTTTAAACAGCCAGCACATATCCTTTTCTTCACAGAGGGTTCTACCGGAGAAGAGCACAATTAGTTGCAGGGCCTGGTAGCCATTGGCTCAAGAGGCACTTTAATCAATGCATTATGAAAAAAGCCTGTGCCTCTTCTAAGCATTGTCCCTGGCAAGATTTGTTTTGTAGATCATTCAAGAGCAGAACTGATATCCTTGAAATATTTATATGTGTGGTTTAGACATGGCCATTTAGTTTCCATTAGCACTGTGAAATCTTCATATTATACTAATGAAACCTTGTGTCTAAAACAACAAGATGTCTATACCGGTGAAGAAAAATGCAGAATGTTCCATCTGATCTCCCATTAGAGTAATCTAACCATCAATGGTGCAATTTTTTTATTCACTGACCGGTCTGTTATGACAAAAACTGAGGAATCAGATATATCATTGAGAAAGGAATTGATATGTGCACAAATATGATCCTTGAATACAGAAGCTAACATGGTTTGAAAGATACTAATGGTACATCATGATTTTCTTTATCTGAGTGATCACCATGTGTTCAACAAGTTAACTGATAAGAATAAAGACATCAATCATACAGATATTGAAAGACCCATATTTTTCCTTTGTGATCATAATCATAACTTTCCCAAAATCGCCCAAAGCCGCCTCTCACCCTTCACGTTTCATTTCAGCATACCCCATCTGGGTGTTTACCAAAATTCTGATTTTCGGACGTTGAGATCTCTGGAAGGACGCAAGACTTTCTAAGTACTCGTAAGGAGCCATAAGTTTAAAATTCCAGTAATAGGTGAGCTTGGGATGTGGAGGGCAAGCTTCATAGGTCAGTCAAAGCTCATCCGACTCAAAGGTGAAGAAGCCTTTCTAATTCGTGGAACTTGAGAGGGACTTACAAGTTGTAACGATTGATTTTTTACAACGTCAATGAACTGAAGGGTGATAGTCAGACGCGGCTTTTGTCACTTCTTCCGTTTGGAACCTCAAAGGCGGCTAATGAATGCTCAAAAATAATTCTAACCACCTTCAACGTCGCCCGTTGGAAAGTGCAGGCTTCCGGGTGATGGTGAAGGTGTTTCGGGAGATTATGATCACAAAGGAAAAATATGACTCTTCCAATATCTTGAGCGCTTGCATTGATGTGGAAAACCGTTGACTAACCAGAACAATGATCTATAGCTCAGGTGGCCAACGTCTCTTAATGGTATTTTTCAGAGTGCAATGTCTAATTACTGGCTCGCACCGAAAATGCGTCAATATAAGATGCCTCCGATGGGTCAGAAGTATAGAGCACCCAATAATCAACGAATCAACTTCATTCATTCACTGACTCAATCCGCAATCTGGGTGTGTCAACTTTCTTTCCTCAAATCCACAATGTTTTAAAATCACAATCACTAACAATATCCGGCTTTCGTTTCCTTTTGACAGTATTGCAGGAGCTCATTTAATCAGATACCCACGTCTTAACGGCATTCCATAAAGTACAACAAGCTACAAGATTTTACGCGAGGTCTGAGACTTCTGATAATTATAAGCCAAGCAGTGCAGGACACAGCCATTCATAGCGATTCGAAATTTACACAAACATAGTAAGTTTTCAAAAGTGTTGGGCTTGGATATACGATCAACTGATTCAAAAACATTTGTTATTCAGTCACAGAATGTCTACTCAACAAGGCTCCACATTGGCCCATGTTGACATAGACTCAAACCCTATCTTCGGAACCTCGACCTCACAAGACTTGTGGAAAGTGAATGAGGTCTGGTTACACCGCGTAATCTTTGGAACCGGAAAGGAAGCCTATTCACTAGGACTCATTTCTCGACAGCCGCTGATCTTGATGCAGTCCAAAAAAATTAAGCTGAAAGCTAAAAATGAAGATGTTTCATTTGTTATCAAAGCGGCAGGGAAATTGGCGCTTGAAGATCAGAAGAATATCAAGCTCTTGGATCGTTTTTGTCGGTTCTTGTTGCATTTAGATGAAACCCGCAAATCATCTGAACCCGACAGATTTCTAATTCCTATTGTTAAAAATAAGATTGATTGGAAAAGAGTCGAGGATCCCTTCAAAGGGATTTCCATGGTACGGAATGGATTTACAACTCTAGAGAAGATTTATGAGCAAGATGAAGGTTCAAAGTTGGAATCGATGATCAACCGTTTTGCCCTCACGAAATCATTTTCCACTGGATTTTCCAATTCAAACTCAAGAGGAAATCGAATTTCGAATATAATTCCTTCAGATTCAGGTTCAAAGACCAAAGATCAAACTTTTCTTCCCTTTGAATTTTGGAGTATTTCAGATCGTATAACTTCAGTTATTTTAAAGATTCCACGTATTGAATTCAAACCTGATTTACAAGGATTACCTTTTCAGATTAAGGAATGGGAGAAAATCAGAAAAAAGTCAATTAGACAAGGATCAACTAGTCAACTAAATATTCAACTAAAGAACATTGGTGATAGTTTTACCAAAAGGGTTATGTCGGTCAAACTATTTCTTTCTGGAAAATCGGTAGAAAATCTCGAATATCTACGGAACCAGGAACTAATGCCTGAAAACCTTTGTAGATTACAAAATGCTTTTCTCGAGTGTCAATTCATTGAAAGAAGATATAAAAAAATTCCTTATCTTTTAGGAGCTTGTTATTTTTATGAAGCCAATCAACACTCCGCTATGGTTTTGGGTCAGAACGTCGGTCTTTCTTATATGGAGATATTGGAAGAAGATGATGGACTGAAATCTAGAGAATCTCCTCAAATCAAAACTGACAATGACCTCACTGATGCTGAAAAAGAATTAGAAGCCAAGTTAAAATATAAATTTAATGATATCAACTTATTAAGAAACGCACTCTCACGGAAAAATCTGCGTGAAAACAGAAGACTTAAATGGCTAGGGGAAGCTATTTTAGATGATTGGACTACATACGCTCTAAAGGATGTTCTAGTGAAATCCCCAAGACGGCGTCCGCTTCATGCTTTGGCCTACATGCATTGGAATGCGACTTTGTCGACATGGGCAAGAAGATGGCTTCAGCCTATCAAGGGACTTGTTGAAAGTAAAATTTTCGAAGTTAATAAGGATGGCAGAGCTCTAACCAAAACACAGGCTGACTTGGTACTTGTATTGATAGCTGTGATGTGTATTGATTGTAAAGGTGATTTCTATCCTGATTCTACTCTTGATGTAGTAATCCGTGGTATGTTTCTAGAAGAAGTCAAAAATATCAAAAGTGAATATGGCTTACAATCCTTTACATGATCATGAATCATGATAAATTTACGTTGTGTTGATGCTGTGATGATTGTATGATGTTTTGATATGATGATGTCGTGATCCCATCTTCTTACTCTCATTTTTCTCTTTCTCAATCACTTTTTGTGTATAAACTTTCCAGTTTTAATCTTGTAAATAATAAACTTACAATTGTTAGAGATCCTTATTCATATCAGTTGAATCCTTGACAATATGGCAATGTCTTCAACAAAGAGCATGTCCATGTAGCATCAGAGGTAAGATAGTGATGGCTGTTTTCTTGAAAAAGCTCTCTGCATCCTGATGACCTCATTCAATGACAATTCATTATAATGCAGGAACGTGTCCCCCACTGGTCTGATGCACAGTAATAATAAGCGTCAAGTAAAAGTGGCAGAAGCCTTTCTAAACCTTCAAACAAATGTATAACATGAAAATCATAAATATACGTATTGTGCAATAAAACAAAAAATCTCAAGCCCAAATTGTATAAAAAAATGTATCACAAAAAAACCTAAATGACATGAATAGAAAAGTCAAAGATCGGTTTCTAATTTTTCTTTAAATTATATCCACACCAAACCAAAAAAAGGTATATAAAACATCTATAATCCCTAAATCATTCCATACCTTGAATCGATTTATTTTATCGCATTTTCAAGTACTAATCGAGGTGCAATATTCCTAACAAAGAAAAACAAATTTTTCAAGATTTTCATCAATTAGTCTTCATTCTGTCATTTGAAAAGCCTTCATCATAAAAAAACTTATTCGAAAAAACCCCTTACATTGCCATTAATTCTTGAAACAATAATTTACAAGCATATGGAATCGTAATCTTAGTCACTGATTTTCCATTCTTACAACGTACACACCAACCTAGAATAAAAAAAAATGAATTCAAAATCAGTTTCCAACCATAAAATCCCCTTTTCCTCGGCTTTCAAAAAAAATCAAACCGTTGATAATAACCAAGACTTACCACTATATCCCATAAAACCACAATCTTGACAAACATCTAATTCAAACGCATCACTTGAGATCATCAAACGTTCAAGTAAAAGTTGACTAGCACCATGTGCAATCAAACAATCTCGTTCCATTTCTCCTAATCGAAGTCCTCCATCTCTTGATCTTCCTTCAGTAGGTTGTCGTGTCAGTACAGCTCTAGGTCCACGTGCTCTTGCATGCATCTTATCTAATACCATGTGCTATCAAAACCATCATGCAAATTTAAAAAAAATCAGATCAGGTCATGAATCATTCGGTTTATGAAATTTGGATTTCTTACCTTCAACTTTTGATAATAAATCGGTCCCATAAACACATAATGTTCTAAAGCTTGTCCCGTGATCCCACTGGTCAAATAATCTTTACCTAAATAACTATACCCATGTTCAATCAAGATCTTGGACATCTCCACCGCTTTACTCCCACCAAAAGCCGTTCCATACTCCACCGTACCTCTCAAGACTCCTGCCTTACCACTCAAAAGCTCTAACATCTTTCCGACGGTCATTCGAGATGGAAAACCATGTGGGTTCATGATGATATCAGGACAAGATCCATGATCGTTGAATGGCATATCTTCCTGTTGTACAATCAATCCACAAACTCCTTTCTGTCCATGTCTAGATGAAAACTTATCACCTAATTCAGGTCTTCTAGTTTGTCGAAGTAAGACTTTCACTAATGTTTGATCACTTTCAGTATCAGTAACCAAAACTTTATCAATATAACTTGGAATCGTTCCTCGATACGTCATCGGTGTATTATTCCAAGCCGTCACCGTTGCCGCTCCACCTGCCACCGAATTATCATTCGCATTCGAAGGCGTTTGTTTATTCACATACACATTCCCACTAAAGACTTTCATTCCTACATCTGCTACACCTCCTTCATCACAAGGTTTCCATTTTTCTAAAATCTGGCCATCTGTATCTCTAGGTGGATCTGCAATCCGATCATAAGTTCCATTAGGATATCGTTTGATCATCGCAGTAGCTTTCCTAAACACTTGACATCTACCAAACCCTCGATCCAATGAAGCTTTATTCAAAATCAATGCATCTTCAATATCATAACCAGAGTAAGACATCACCGCCACCGTAGCATTCTGTCCAGCCGGTAATTTATCATAACCAACTAATTCGATCGTTTTGGTTCTGACCATCGGATGATGAGGATAAACCATTAAATATAATAAAGTATCGATCCGATGTAATTGATTATAAGCAATCGCTCCAATCGCTTGTTTTCCCATGGCACATTGATATGTATTACGAGGTGATTGATTATGATGTGGATAAGGAATCAATCCAGCCACTGCACCCAGTAAAGTAAAAGGTTCGATCTCGAGATGTGTAGTGAATTGATCAACGTCTTCTTCATATAAAGCAATAAATGAATCATTCTCTTCATTACAATCTAAATACTCAATCAAGCCTGCCGTCAAAAAATCATCAAAACACATTTTGTTCTCTTTGAGTAACTAGAGAATTCCAATTCAAATGTCAAAAAGTTTATCAAGACGTGTAGAATGAAAATCAATTTTAATCTTTCACTCACCTGAATATGAGAACTCGTAACTCTAGGTACACCATGATCTACAATAATCATAGGTCTACAAATCCGACCTCCATCTGTTGCAATATTCACAGTTTGTTGATCTGAATTCATATAAATACTCACAAATTCAGAAACTTGTCCTGCCCTTCTAAACTGTCTAAAGACTTTTACAAACCTTTCAGGTGATCGACTCAAACCCAAGATGTTTCCATTAATAAACACAATATAATGTCTAGGTAAATAAAGTTCAGTACCGGTCACCGAACTAATATCTTCACATCCAATTGTATAAGCCACATTCCAAATCGGTTCTTCATCTACATCCGTCGTAATATGCGTCATGAGAGCCAAATTCTTTACTAATCCACATGCTTCTCCTTCAGGTGTATCACTAGGACAAAGCATACCCCATTGACTTGGTTGTAAAGCTCGAGGACCACTCACTTTTCGAGTTTTTTCAAATTGACTCGAGATTCGAGTCATCATTCCTAAAGCTGAAATATAACTTAATCTACTTAAAACATGTGTGATCCCAGCTCGCTCCATTTTGAATCGTTTGATCGACCAATTTCCAGTGGAGATAGCTCTAATGAATCCATGTGAAATATGATCACCATGCATTCGAAATTGATTAATCGCATCAAATTCAGTAGTCCGATTCGGTTTTTTTAAAATCTTATCGATATTCATCTTTAAATCGGTATTAAACTTTTTGAAAAGATCTTCAAACAAGAGAGACAATAGTTGACCTGCCCTATGGGTTTTGAAGGAAAAAACTTTGACCAGTTACATTCACGAAATCCGAAAAAGATAGATAAAACCAAGTCTACTTACAGTTCAAGACGTTTATTCCCAACATAATCTCTATCATCCACCAACTTTGGATTAGCCATAGCTTGAATCACACGTCTAGCCATCACCGCCAAATACAAAGCTTTAGGTTGTAAATTCATATTCTCAGCAGGGACATGTGCCAAGACGACCGTCGATAAGACTTCTAATGCTTCTTCTGATAAAGGTCTCTTGACCGTCACCATAGGTCCTTTCTTCATCACTTTGACACTTTTACCTATATATTCTAATGCTTGTTTTTGTGTATAAATTCCAGCTTCATGACACTGTTCTATACAAATCGAAAACGTCGAACGATAATCATCATTGTTTCCACACACTAATTGAACCACTTCATTATCTGATGTGATGCCGTATGCTTTCAAGGCAATCACGACTGGGATTTCTTCTTGAATCGAATTATGTTTAAGGTATACTTTTGAGTTTTTCGTCACAACATACGTTTTGGATTTCCGTTCGTGTGTAGAACTTTCAAAAAGAAAAAGAATATATTTTCAAAGATTAGTTAAATGAATCAACCCAAATCCATTCAAATTTCACTTCACTTACCTCGTCACACTTGCCATAATAGTACCTTTACGAGAATCAGTTTCAATCAAAATCCGATTCTTACTCAATTGTTCTTGAACCAAAATCACCTTCTCAGTGCCTTTGACCACAAAATATCCACCCGGATCCAAAGGACATTCCGTCATCTTAGCCAATTCAGCATCTGATTTATTAGTCAAAACACATTTATTACTTCGAAGCATGATCGGCATCCTTCCGATCGGAATCCCTTTACTCAAGACCCGTTTGTTACCTTTAGTATACTGAATCGTCACGGAGATCGGTGCCGAATAAGTAATATCTCTTAATCTACATTCGTGTGGTGTGATCCGTTTGTTAGTAGCTGATCCTGTATCCAATCTACACGGTTCTCCTACATTAATATCTAGATAAGTTAAATGAAAGTTCGGATCTACATCTGATACTACAGTCGCATTAGCTCTTAAGATCGCCTTTAATTCTACATCCACAAAATAATTAAACGAATCAATATGTTGTTTGACTAATCCTTTGACTTTTAAAAATGCAGGTAACAATTGCCATTTATCCTATGAAGAATGAACCTCATGGTGATTTGAGTTTTAGTCAGTAAAAATCTATAGTATCATCAAGTTTAGATTGAGGCTTTGATGAGATATAATGACTTACCTCAACAGTTTTAACCGGATCTGACAACTTCTTTCCCAACCAAACTTCTTTTTCCATTCCTTGTAAACTATAATTCTGCGTAGAATCAAGTTGACCAAATCCATCATGAATCTTTTTCTTTTGATTTGGATTAGTTTTTGATTTTTCTGTTGATCTTTTATTAGAACTCGATTGAGGTTTTGTAATTGGTATTTCAGATTGAGTGTCTTGAATTGGTTGAACTTTTTCAACGTCGATTTCCATAGGTTGGTCTGGATCCATTTGTGGTAAGACTGGTTTCACATCGGTATGATCGTCTGCTTGGTTTAGTAAGGTTTCTAGTTCTTCAAGTAACATTGGATCTGCTGATTCGTCTGGTTCTGATACGGCCAAGACTTCCGATGGACCTGCTTGAGGTGGAGGTGGAGGTTGAGTTGAAGTAGTTGGAGCATCTTGAGTTGGAGGATCTTGAGTATGAGCTGGAGTTGAAGTGGTTGGAGTATCTTGAGTTTGATTTTTTGAAGTTTCTTTCAAGTATGGTTTGATAGGTTTGAAGGTACGTTTAGGTGGCATGATGATGATGAATAAAGAATGGGCAAATCAAAAAATCAAAAAAAGTTGAAAATTTCAAGTTTAGAATTTTTCAACCCGATCGAAAGACCCGATTAGAGAAGCCCGATCCGGAGATAGACTCGAATCGGGTATATTTTACTTCTTGAATGAAATTTCACTTCAACACTGATCACTCATCGCCACCATCATGAATCAAGACATCAAATCAACAAGACCACCAATCACAATCCTATACGGAAGTCAAACCGGAACAGCCGAAGACCTATCCCACCAAGTTTCCCAAAGACTCCAAAGACTCCAACTCAAAACCAATGTCTCATCCATCGATGACTTCCATCCCGACTCCATCTTCTCATCCACCCCAACCTCATGCTCATACATAATTTTTATAGTATCAACAACAGGTCAAGGAGTCGAACCTACTAATATGAAACGGTTTTGGAAATCTTTATTACAGAAAACTTTACCGTTCGATTTGTTTGAAAACGTGATGAGCTTTACGGTCTTTGGTTTAGGTGATTCGAGTTATCCAAAGTTTAATTGGTCAAGTAAAAAACTTTATAGAAGGTTACTTCAACTTGGTGCACATGAGTTTTTTAAACGTGGTGAAGCTGATGATCAAAACACAAATGGGTGGGTTCTTCAATTTCGATTCGATCGGTTCATCATCTGAATAAGATTTGGATTTGGATTTGGTTTTCTTTTCGGATTTAGAATCGACACTACTTTCACACCTTGGCTAGATCAACTATGTACCACTCTACTTGAACTGATACCACTTCCACCCGGTCTAGAAGTGATCCCAGAAACCCAACTCCTTCCAGCTCGTTATACCCTCAAGCCAATCCAAGACCCACCGTCCTCATTTACCGATCCATCATCCGATTTCAGTTCAACTTTCGCAAGACTTTCTAAAAACGAACGTCTCACACCTGATGATCATTGGCAAGAAACAAGACACCTTGAATTTGATTTTGATGAACGGCTTGAATTCTTACCGGGTTGGGTAGCTTCTGTCTTACCCGAGAACTCGGCCGAAGAAGTCAATCAACTTTTAAAACTAATGAAATGGGAAGAAATAGCTGATGAGCTCTACGAATTGAAAAGTACAATCAAAGGTAACATCTCTATAAAAAGAACCTAAAAAAGGATATCATCCAATCAGACTTTGATCAAACCCTATTGATTGATTGATTGATTTTCTCTTGATTTTCTTTTTTTCTTGGGTATAGGACAAAGTTTACCTGATTCATGGAACAAACCATGTACACTTCGTGAACTGTTTACTACTCGATTCGATTTCCTATCAGTACCTAAAAAATCTTTCATTTCATGGATCTCATATTTCGCTCAAAACCAAGACCAAAGCGAAAGGTTAAAAGAGTTTTGTACCATAGAAGCACAAGTGAGTATCTCAAAGAATTCTTTTCTTATATACAATCTTGATTGAGATTATGTAATTGATTTTTTAAAAAAGTGATTTTCTTTTTTAAAAAAAAGGATGATTTGTATGATTATATCAATCGACCTAAACGAACGATTTTAGAAGTTTTACAAGACTTTAAGTCGGTAGAAATCCCCTTAGATTATCTACACGACATCTTTCCGATCATCAGGCCTCGACAATTCTCAATCGCCTCGTCTCCCAAGGTACGTGAAGACATTCCATCCTCACCAAATTGGGTTTGTAGAATTCAATCTAATGAGTTATCAAGGTTTTGGACTTATAAATCAGATCTTTCCAAACCAAATCCATTTACTTGTAGCCGTTGTTAAGTATCAAACAAGAATCGTAAAGGCTCGTAAAGGTCTATGTACAAGTTGGTTATCAAAACTCAAACCAGGTAAGTCCCAAGCATTTTTTCCAAATACTCAATCAAGCCGACTTCTTCTGAGGGGTTTTCTTGGTCGGATGTGCGCGGAGGGGGTTTCTAGGTAGTCGAATTCCAATTAAGATCGAACCAGGTTACTTTACTTTCTCATCTGTCGATCCTCAATCTCCTGTGATCTGTATCGGACCTGGCACTGGCATTGCTCCTTTTAGATCTTTGATTCAACATCGATCTTCTGAACCTCAACTTCAACATCCATATCAAGATTTAGTTTTCTTTGGATTTAGGAATTTGGAAAAAGATTGTTATTATAGGGAAGAATGGATGAGGTATCAAACTGAAGGAAATTGTAAAGTGGTTTTAGTTGCTTCTAGAGATCAGGTTGGTCTTTTTTTCAACAAAATCGATTTTGGAATTTGGAATTTGGAATGTGAAGTTTGATGAGATTTCTTGGATATGTGATTTTGGTTTAGGTTGAGAAAAAGTATGTTCAACATGAAATTGAAAATAATAGTGAAGAGATATGGAAAATGATTTTTAAAGATCAAGCTTCTATCTTCATATCAGGGTAATTCTTTTCATTCTTTCATCCCTGAAACCCTCCTCCCAACGAAACGTACTTGTACTAAAAAAAACTTTCATTTTGGATTTGGTTTTTGGTGAGGATCTTAGTTCAGCAGGACAAATGCCAAAATCGGTAAGAAAAGCATTAAGAAATGTTTTTGAAAAAGAAGGAAAGATGAAGGAAGACGAAGTTGATGGGTTGATTGAAAGGCTTGAGAAGACGGGTCGACTTCAAGAAGAAACTTGGAATTAAATATACGAAAATCAAGTTCAACATCAACATCAAAAGATTTGATTCATGCAGTTTTAATGCCAATTCCCCGGTGGGTTTTTTTGTAAAAACTTGGATCGAACATGATTAATTTTATTGTTTTTTCTTTTGGTTCGGTTTAATCACTTTATGATTTCTCTTTTATACACTTATTATTTAATCTTAACAATAATCATAGAAACCATTCCTCTCATGGTTTTAAAACATATCACATTTAAAAGTTGATTGAAGCAATGAAAAAAATATCATGATCACTCAAAATCCAAGATTCTGATGATTAACGATATTCAAATAATCAAAATATTCGAAATCATCTTTTATAACACAAGACAAAAGTACAAAATAAACTTGAAATTTTCAGATACAATAAACTTACAATCTTCAGAAACACAAATGATCATGTCGAGTTTGTAAACCGTTGATGTAATTCATCAAATGCTTTATTCATCCCATGCTTAACAAAAAACGTTTTTCCACATAACCAATCAGTGATCCTTTTTCGATCTAAAACCTCTTGAAGTTCTTCTGTTGGATGATCAAGTATATCAACTGAACCATTTCCATCCAAACACATCACTGACCAACCAATAACGATCATTCCCGGCGGTCTTTGATCGCCAATAGATTGAAAAGATTCCACCACGTTGGAAAGAGTACTGAGCAGAATCCTTTGATCAAACGAAGAAGCTCTTTCTATAATACCAATAGGCAAATAACCAGGATACAGATCCATTTCCAACAACTGTTTAACAATCGATTCCAGTCTAATAACACCCATTAAGATCACCAACGTTCTAGACCTTTGATAGCTTGGAAAGCTCATTTGTTTTCCTCTTCTTCCTACACCTGTACAGAGAACTACGGATTCTGAGACGCCTCGTTGAGTGAGGGGAATGTTGAAGAGAAGTGGGGCTGCGATGGATGATGAGATTCCTGGGATCACTGTGGCTTCGTAGCCTGCTTTTCTAAAGAAAAGTATTTCTTCACCTCCTCTTCCATATATAAATGGATCACCTAAAAGTCACCATTCGTAAAACAAATGAGCTTAAGATCTTGATTTTCGAGAACCAAATATCAAGAAAAACCTTACCTTGTTTTAACCTTACAACCGTTTCTCCCAGCTCTGCAAACTTAATAGCTTGTTCCATAAACTCACATTGAGCAAACTCCGAATTGCCAGGAAACTTTTTAGATACGAATAATTTTATATGATTTGGAATTAAATTAATGATTTGATCTGGTACTAGTTTATCACATAAGATTACGCTTGCTGATTTAGTTAATAATGTATAGGCTGCACATGTTAGTAATGATGCATGACCTGGACCTGAGCCTACTAAGTAAATTGAACCTTTTTTGGGGGTTGGTGAGGGTTGGGTTTGTGGTGATAGTAAACTTGAACGGTTTGGGTTGGGCTTCTTTACTGAAAGGGTATAGACACCTTGATGGTCAGATGATGGAAGTAATGAAAGATTGGGTTGAAGTTTATGGGTCGAAGGAGGGTTTAGGATCTCGTTGATTGCTTGAGGGTTTTGGTGTAAGTTTGCGATTTGGGTTATAGGCCAGTATTGACTGATTTGAGAGATCCAACTTATTTGAGTAAGTGTTGTTTCTGATATCCAACTTGATTCAAATCTTTGTTTCCCATTATCCAAAACACCTTGGCTAGTTGGATCGGTCTTGAGAATCAGATGCTGAGCTAGAGGAATTTGAGGCGAAGGAATAATTGATTGAGGGGCTTGAAGTTGGAAATCATGATTCGCTAGGAGTTGGGTTCTTGATTTTAGCTCGGCAATAGCTTCACATGCGTCTCCTACTCTTTCATTAAGTTTACTTATGATTTCTCTTTTTAATCTGTTTTCTAAAATCGTTGAAGATCCAGATGAAGATAAAGCTATTTGTAAAGAACTCTTAAACGTTTTTTGAGTAGGTTGGTTTGTAGGTTGATGGGTTAATGGCCATCTGTAAGTAACTGGAAAAGTAAAATCAGATAAAAGTGGATTGTTTTGAAGATTTAAAGGGATACGTAAATGATAAGCAACTGTTTTAAGTGAAATCATTAAATCTTGAATTGCTTCATGATCTTGTTGATTAGTTTGAAGCTCGATTAAAGAAATTAAATTGATTTGATGGAAATTGGGAATTGATTTTAACCAAGTTTGAATCGATTTAGAATCCAAAACTGATGGTAAATCATCACAACAAGCCAATTGACCAAGTTTGATTCGGTTCAAAATTTCTACATTTTGATTTGGTTCAATAAACTGAGGATTGAATTTAGCCAAGATGACTTGGTAACCTGATTCTAAGCATAAGATTGCTTGATTGTACATTAGATTTGAATAGTTTCCTATTAAGAGAATCGTATTTCGACGTGGAAATTGAAGATGAAGTTGATCAAGATGATCATGATGAGATTCATTTCCATGAAAGTTTAGTAGTAAAGAAGTACCACGTTGTGGTGCTGGGTAAGTCTCTTGATGTTGTTGATGATGATTGGACATTTTGGAATAACAAAGTGAAGCGAATGAAAGAAAGATAACATTTCTTAAAGTGGTTGATGATATATATGAGTTGTTGTGTAGCTTGCTGTTATGACGTGATGGATGATGAAATTGATGATGAGATGACGAATGAGTCAATGATTTACAAAGATGACTCAGAATCACATTGGAGATTGCAAATCAAATTGGTGTATGCTTTCGATCAGATTGGAAACATAAACTTGTCAGATTTCTAAACAGAAAAGAATGATGAGGATGGTATATCTCCAATCCAGCTCACACTGATCACACAAAGTAGAGGAGAACAAAAAAACATTCAGAAGAGAAGAAAAGAATTGATTGGCTGGATTTGTTCTATTCCACTTGTAGATTGGTAAACAAGACCACACACAGCAAATCATCAGATCACAGCAACAATCCATCAAACAAAAGTGGTCATGAAAACCATCTTGAACTCAATTTCATTCATCTTCTCAACTTTTACTTCTTTACCTCCATGTCCATTTCATCCTCACAGTCTCAATCTGATTGAACAAGTCCACAAAACAGTGCCAGATAATTCTTTATATCTTTTTGGATGACCTCACTGATCAGCTGGCTTGAGCTATTTCTTTCCCCCACGTTAGTCTTACTCTGCCTTTACTCCACAATGAGCCATGACTCCATGAGCCACAATGGAGTATATATCGTTTCATGATCAGACCATCTCCGAGTTTTGATTCTTTTCTTTTCTTGTGAAGTCACTAATCAATAGAAATCATCCAAACGAAGAACAAATCATCTGATCAGTCTTGATCCTGTCACCTACAGTTCATCCACATTCAGCCAAATTTATAATCCTGATTCAATCATTCAAAGTATCAAGGGTTTTGTATGTTCCGATTCATCTTCAGTAGTGGGGTAAGATACTCTTTGATGAATGGAATGATATGGGGGGATCATCCCAATCAAAATCATATCCCACGTGATCTAGGTCGTCAGAAATGCACATCTATCAAATCTGGAATTTATTTTTAAGTTGAGCGAGATATGATTGGAAATCGATTTGAGAAGTCCAAGAGTTCCAAAACCTCATCTTTCCTCAATTCCTTAACCCTTTTGAGTCTTTAATATCTTCTTCTTCTGAAGTACGAGTTCAGTGATATACATCATCAAGAGTCAAGACCATAAGTGCGATAAATGATACCCAAAATGAGTTTCGAATACCATAAACCATCAACATGGCTTTCTGTCCTAATTATTATCAGTACAATCAACCTCACAAGATCTCACCACACCAAGAACCGAGACCTAATCGACTTTGAAAAACGAAGCGAAGCAAGTTCTCATGCGATTCCTAGTCAAGTTTATAACACTTCAGTTCAAGACACACAATGTGATCTTAATCGTCATGAACCTCCTCAACTATCTAACTTGATCACTTGTCATGATAATTCTTTGTTTACTTTATGGAGACCTAAAGCTAGGTTCATGGGATCTCGTGGTTGGTTGAATGACCCTATGGCTATTTGTGAGTCATCTCTTTTACTTATATGTTCTTATATGCTTCTTGATATTTTAACATCCATTGATTCTAATGAGATTCAGAGAAATTGACGATATTTTTCCGCTTGAATCAGATCAAACCAAAAATGGTTCTTGGCATATAGGCTACCAGTGCCAGCCGAACAACTATGTGGTAGGTAGTAGACACATATTGAATGATAGGATGAAGTTTAAACAGAAAAGGCCGTTACTCACTGCTTTTTCAAACTTTTCCTTCGTCGGATTGCCTTTGTACCTTGATTTAGTGGGGAAATATTTCTCAGTGCTCAGCTTCGACTACTGATTTCACTTACTTTAATGATTGTCAGTTTCCTTTACATTGAAAGAAATCCCCATGCATAAATTCCTCTGTCATGAATATCCCAAAGTATTTAGCTGATCAGTATCCGTCATTTTCCTATGATAATTAGACCATGGCTGGCAAAACCCAGTGACCATCGTGAGTCAACCATATATATATACGAACCAGAACCTTCAAGAATGTTCTAAGACCAATCTGACACCCACCCATCCTTAGGCTCCATCTCAATTATACGATATTCGTGGAGTTTTTGATGGAAGTATCATCCAAAAAGGTTGGAACGGACACCCTACGATCATCTATACGTCAACTTTTACTGGTCCACTTGGTTGGAAAACTCAACCGCCTGAGAAGGAAGGAACTGAAACTCAGAGTCTTGCTTATACTGAAGACGATGGTAAGACATGGACCAAGTTGAACTTTGGAGAGAATGGAAACCCAGTGATTTGTAAGCCGAAGCCAAAGTGTTTGATTTGATCTTGTCACTTAGAAGGAATACTTTCAGTCACTGATTTTATTCATTATTTGATTCAGACCATTGGCCAGAAAAACATCTTACTGGATTCAGAGATCCATTCATATTCGAATCACCCGAATTCTTATCATTTTATTCCTCAAGTGGATCCCAACTAACAGGCCAAAAGTTTTTGACCATCAGTGGAGGGATTCGTGAAGATTTAGATCCCAAGAATGCAGGACCTAGATTATTTCTTTACCGTCAAAGCTATGAAGGAAATTTCCTTCATTGGACTTATTTAGGACCTTTGATCGAATTACCACCGGTTTTGAAACCTATTAGTTCTTGGCAAGGTGCAACTGGTGTGAACTTTGAATGTGGTTCATTAGTTACTATTGAAGAAGAGCCTCAAATGAACGGAACCAACCAGAGTGGTAATGATTCTTTTCAAAAACATCCTCATCGGCTTGATCTTTTCTTGACTGGATCTGAAGGAGCTCGAAATGGATCTCATGATGATCATTGGCCGATTTGGAGTGTATTAGATTACGATTTTTCAAATCTTGATGGAAACTTAAAGGCTAAAATCAAGTTTTCAGGTGTGATTGATTGGGGTAGGACTTATGCATTTGTAGTTTTTCAAGTTGAACCTAATCGACAAGTTCTTGTAGGTTGGAGTTATGTAAGTCATTCGATCCACTTTCTTTAATTGTCTCTCTCGTTTACTTATCTTTGGTTATTTTTTGGGGGGATTCAATATAGGAAGACGATGTTCAGAACGTATTGACTTCTCAAAGAGGTTATCAAGGTTCATTTACTCTATTTCGAGATATCTTTGTAAAAGTGATTCGGAATATCGCACCAGAGTCGGCTTACTTGACTGAGAAAGATCCAAGTTGGAGTGTCGAAAAAGAATTGGATGGTTCTTTATCCGTTATCACTCTTGGACAAAAAATCATTCCTGAAACCTTAAAAGCATACAAAAAAGAATCAATTGTTTCTAAACTGGCTGATCGTACTTTGAACATTAATAGTACTAGTAGTAGCACAGAAGGGAACACTCAGAATAGTACTCAGCTTACCAATCTAGTTAGATTTGAAACCCAACCATCTGATAGGTTTTTTGCTATTACTGCTCAACTCGATTTTTATGGCTTGACATCCAAGATTATTGATCCGACAAAGATAGATCTTCAAAACATGCTCAGAGCAGGGTTTAGAGTCTTGGCCAGTGAAAGTGAATGGACAGATATTTACTACGATCCTTTACTCGAATCAATCGTTATTTCTCGTACCCATAGTTCTTTAATAAAAACTTGTAAGTCCAAAAAAACTATACACCTCAAGCCTTATGAGATCGAGTATTGACTGTTTTTCTGTTGATTGGGGTTTTAGACGGGAATGAAAGCGAGGTTGGAAAACTAAGGCTTTGGCCTATTAGAGATCCATTGACGAATACTACTTCTTTAGAATCACTTAATTTGACGATCGTTGTGGATAATAGTGTGGTTGAGGTTTATGCTAATCATCAAACTGTTATTACTACTAGGGTTTATCCTTGGTTGATGGATTCTACATCGGTTTCTTTCTTTGTACAACAACCATCAAATCTTTCGTCAAATCCTTCATCAAATCAACTTTCAAAAACAAATCATTCGAAAACCAATCCTTCGAATTCTGAGTCTGATGAATTTCTTCCTTCTTCAGTTATGTTCTCTAAAATCGAAATATGGGATGGACTCTTAAATGCTTGGCCAAGCAGACCTACAAACAGTTCTTTAACAAATCCAACTTTTAGTCATAACCTTACTAGTACTCTTTATGATCTTTGGACTGAACTTTGATTTTGATCTCGTTTTTCAAGTTTTTGGAAAGAAAAAATCCAACACTTTATTGATATTTGTATAATAGATATATCTTGGTCGTTTTGATGGGTCTTTGTTTTCGTAGTAGTAGTTTTGAAGTATTTATGATTGGTGTTTTAGGTTGATTTGATGATTTTTGGATGTGAAACTTACAAATTTACTATTTAACTTGATGAAGACAAAAATGGTGTGATTTTTCTTTCTTTATGTTGTGAGATTCGTTTTGAGATGTTTCAGGTGTCATTCTTCTGAGTTTTGAATGCGTTTTTTACGAATATCGTTGAATGGACATGAAAAAATAGTGACTTGGAGATGCATTTGTATTGGAGACGGAATGCTTTTCGTGCATGCTTTGTGAAGGATGAGAAACATGGATGAATTAAAGTGCGCATACATACAAGGGAGGCGCAGGGAGGAGTTACACAAACCGGGTTTCTACTTTGTATCCCATAATACGAGGGACAATCCCACACATTTTAATGAGATGAAACATCAGATTCATCTTGGCATGCGCTTCACCTCGAGTGACTCAGCGCAGAGGGACTTGGTACTTATCCGATGCAAAAGGTTTCAACGTGACCAAGAAATTCACATGACCTTTGACCTCAAGACTCCCTTGAAGAAAATCAGTCACGAATTTGATGTGGATATGATTCGTATCAGCCAGCAGAACTTGAAGTCTGGGACAAGGATAGGGTCACTCTCCACCAAACATCCGCAATGATTTTCATCGACATGACATGATATGATCAATCGATTGCACCTGATCGGCTTCTCAAACTTTACTCATATGACTTTCTACAGTTTTGCTTGCACTGCAAGATCGAGACGGGCTCCGCTCATATCCTACAACGTTTGATACTTCCTCCCTCCGGAACACGCCGTCCAACAAGGTCATACACCGGTAATGCTCATCATGTGACAGCGGGGCATTGGATATTTCTGACGCGGTGTGATATTTAAATAAAGTACCCTTGATGAGCTTTACATCGAGTGACTCACTTGCAAAGGTTTCACTCATCTCCTCGCCTAATATAATCTCGTCTATCGTATCGTCATCGAACAATGAGGACGGTCAAAATGGTACAGCTCGTTATCAAGCTTCCAAAGATGATGGTCAAATCTGATTCAAACTCATCATGGCTTTGCCTCAGTATGATCTTCGCCATCGTAGTCGACCTTTCAGTTTGTCGGTCGTCCATACTTCAACTTCAAAACCAGTTTAATAAACGAGACATCATTCATTCCGACACTCATTATGATAAAAATTCGACCGATCCCCGATCTATCGGATGCAACATCTCTCGCAACGAGCCACCTCAGTTATCGAACTTACTCGCTTGTTGGAATAGTTCCCTATTCAATGTTTGGCGTCCCAAAGCAAGGATGATAGGATCGCATGGGTGGATGAATGATCCTATGGGAATCTGTGTGTACTTTTTTCTAAAATTTTGAAATCTTTCAGGTTGGCTGATAAAGTTTTCGATGGGTTAGTTCAAACAAAGAATGGAACGTGGGATATAAGTTACCAATGTCAACCCAATAACTATATGGTAGGCATTTCATGGCTTCAAGTTCCATCAGACTTCAGTCCCGTTTATGTAACATATCTTGCGTCGTATTTTTCCAGTGGGGAAACATTTCTCAATGCTCGGCATCTACATCCGACTTTACATATTTCAATGACTGTAAGCCTTCTACCATGGAATACTTTTATTAGTCACGAACACATAAGCTGGGATGAGCTTGGCCTTCCTACACGCGTACCCCGCAAGATAACACGACTCTGCAAGGTGTGTCAAAAACAGTTGGCTGACCAAAGCGCACTTGTTGATTTGTTTTCAGACCATGGCTGGGAAGACCCTATCACACTTGTAAGCACCAAAAAATTGCTTATGATCACCAATGCTGTCACGTACATCGTATTGTGATCTGATTTGCATGAGTGAATAATCATCTTCTTTATTTAGGCACCCTCGCAACTATACGATATCCGTGGAGTGTTAGACGGAACGGCGATCCAAGATGGATGGAATGGATACCCCACTCTTATGTATACATCCACTTATACTGGCTCGCTGGGATGGAGTAGTCAGGCACCTGAAAGAGAAGGCGCAGAAACCTTGAGTATTGCATATACTGAAGATGATGGTACGACATGGACAAAACTGAACTTTGGGGAAGGAGGAAACCCAGTGATATGTTAGTTCAATTGTATGGGTACAATCCTAACGACGTGATCATGAATGGTTTATTGACCTTTACTCACTATCCTAAAACTTTAGATCATTGGCCAGAAAAAAATCTTGCTAGTTTCAGGGATCCCTTCTTATTTAAATCATCTGAATTTCTTGATTATTATTCCAACTCATCAAATCCTTGGAGTCGTTCAAACTTGACGGGCGAGTATTTCTTAGCCATCAGTAGTGGGATTCGTTTAGATCTTGATCCAATCAATGCAGGACCTCGATTATTTCTTTATCGTCAAACCACTAAAGGAAACCTACTTGATTGGACATACCTAGGTGTTTTACTTTCAGCACCTCATCAATTCATTTCTAGTAGTCCTTGGCGTGCTCCTTTTGGTGGAAACTTTGAATGCGGTACATTAGCTAGTCTTCATGAAGGAGGTAGGGTGATCAGTCAAGACTCTAAGAATATCACTCATCGACTTGATTTATTCTTTAGTGGAATAGAAGGAGCTCCTAGAGATTCTCATCAAGGTCATTGGCCGATTTGGAATGTCCTTGAGTATGATTACAGTCATCCAGATCGAAATTTGACGGCAAGTATTAAGTTTTCTGGCGTTATTGATTGGGGTAGGACATATGCATATGTCAGTTTTCCGGATGACAAAGGTCGACAAATCCTCATTGGATGGTGTTATGTAAGAGATTCTTTGGTTTATGTGTATTGAGCTTTTGATCTTTGGCTGATCATTCCTGATAATAGGAGGACGATGATAAAAATGTATTGGCATTTCAAAGAGGTTATCAAGGTGCCTTTACCCTATTTCGAGAAGTGTTTGTGAAAGTTATTAGGAATGTTTTACCTACTTCACCATATCTGAATGAGAAAGACCCAAGTTGGATTATCGAAACTGAGGCAGATGGTTCAATATCTGCGGTGACTCTTGGACAAAGGATTGTTTCAGAGACTTTAACAGCATATGAAAAAGAGTCTATTATTTCAAAACCTATTGACCGTACTTTAGATCTTGGAGTAGTAGAAAGTACCAATGCGCTTCTTACAAATCTAGTCCAATTTGAAGAACAGCCATCAGATCGGTATTTTGCTATCACCGCTCAACTCGACTTTCATGGCTTGACCTCAAGCTTGGATGATCCCACAAACATAGATCTTCAAAGCATGCCTCGTGGTGGGTTCAGAGTTTTGGCCAGCGAAAGTGAATGGACAGATATCTATTATGAGCCTTCATCTGAATCACTCGTTGTGCGCCGTGAACACAGTTCTTTGGTGAAAGTTTGTAAGTCTATAGACCATTCAAGGTGTTACAATAATATCAGAGCGTGACATTAACTTGATTGACTTTTCTAGATGGGAGTTCTACTGAGATAGGAAAACTAAGACTTTGGCCAATTCGAGATCCAATGACCAACACCACCTCTTTAGAATCACTTAACCTAACTATCATTGTAGACAACAGTATTATAGAAGTATACGCAAATCATCAAACAGTCATCACTACTCGAGTTTACCCTTGGTTGATGAATTCTACATCAGTTTCATTTTTCGTAGAAGGAAATCCATCAATGAAGAACCCAAATCGATCATCTAATCTTACTTCTAATCCAAAAGAAATTCATTCCAATCCTAGTGTCACCAACCATTCAAGTTTTATTCCTCAATCTGTTTCTTTTTCAAATATTGAACTATGGAATGGTTTGCTAAACGCTTGGCCAAATCGACCTTTAAATTCTTCTGTACTTATTAAAACTAGTCATGATCTTACTCAAACTCTTTATTCTGTTTGGGATGATACGTCATAATTAGATTCTTGATCTATATTAAAAGCACTTTGTACTCAACTTGAACGTTTTATCGATTTTCTTCCGGATTTAAATTTGAAGAAGGGTTTTATGTTTTTTTGAGATCAGAAAACAAGTTCCAAGGGATCTTTTAGGCGTTTATCAATAGTTTGTGTTTTTAATTACTATGTGTGTAGGCAAACGTCATCAGATTTGGTGAAGGTGGGGTTAGATGAATTGGTATGTCACGGTCAATGTATCCTTTCCCTCTTGAGTCCATTTTTGATTGCAAGGCTTTCACTCTACACATAAAATCACACAAATTCTTTATCTTCATCCTCATACCTTGAAAGATGTTCTATATCCTCTGACATTCCTTTGAGTCTATGTAAGGTTTTCATTTTAGCATTTTTTTATCATGTAATGCTTGAATTTGATTGGTTGTTTACAATCTTTTTTGGAATACACTTTTATTCCAGTTTCTCATTTGACTTGAAGTCTCAATCTCAATCTGAAAGAAATTTATAGGTTCAAGCTTAATTTGAAAGCATTTCGAACCAGTGACACCGGTCAAACTTAACATCCGCATGGGACTTATGTTAAGTTTGGACACTGGTGGCCAAAGGCACGTCATCAGTGAGTTCCGTCAAGAACACTGGACGCCGGGTTTTGGGTCACGAGTAGTGAAGTCGGGGCCGAATCAATTAGTCGGCCCCAGAGAAAGGAAACACGCACAGACCTAGAGACTTCACACTCGCCGAACCAAAACAGCATCAAGAAAATACTTTCTGAGATTCACCAAAGCTTAAATTTCCTCATAAATAATTTTGAAAACAAAGAAAACAATGGAAAACTCACAAGATATCAGTTTAACACAACAGACAAAAGACTTCAATAGAATAACAAGGTCAAGACCAGGAAACAAAGATGAAAAAGAACAACAAGAGAATCAAGAGGCAAGTGGAAGCAAACCAAGAGGAAGAGGAAGAGAAAGCGGTAGAACATCAAAGAAAGTAGAGATGAAGGAAGAAGGAAGAGTAAGACACCCAAAAGAAGAAACGACGTCAGAAGAAGAAAGTGGAAGTGGTGGTGAAGAGGAAAAAGAAAACAAAGAAGTAGAGGTAGAGAAAGAAGAGCTTCTAACGGAATTGTCCGACAAGAATGAAGAGAGAGGAGGCTTAGGAGCGGAAGGTGACAACAGAAGTGAAAGCGGGATAGGACTTTGTAAGTTTTTCACATAGTTTTGAATTGCACCTTCCCACCTTCTATAAGTCCAACCCCCCCATATCTTAAAAAGATCACCACAAACCATCACACAAAACCACTCTGTACCATCTATTATCATCATCACAACAAAACCACATTCCATCACACTCCATCAGATGACCATGTTTAACCAAATATCAGAAGGACTAACAGTGTGGTAGGAAATTGAATAGTGGCTCGAGATATCATTTAACAAAACTCAACCAAGTGTGGCCTGAACAAAAGTGTGGCCTGAATAAAGATAAAAGTGTGGCCTGATTAAATTAAAATAATGTGTGGCCAAATGTGCGGCCTGATTAAAAAGAGACGTGATAGATCTAGAAGTGCGGCAGATGTTAGTAAGACGCTAAAGGCGCCATAAGAGACAATAAGATGAGTAAAGATAACTATAGACCAGATCAAGTGAATAAAAGACAGGACAGAGATGGAAAAGAAAGAGAAGAGAAAGGACTAACATGGAGTGTTTTCTTGCTATGATTGTTGCCAGACCATAAAGATGACAAAACAGAATTCACCAACTCAAACGGCCACATTGTGGAGAGCAATTTATATGTATTGTTTTCTTTTTGGACGCCACTATTTGGCGACCGCTTTCTAAAACCCGACGCCCGGATTTTGGATAACACCAATCTCACAGCCCGTTGCATGTAAACCATCGCCCGGTTTAATTTGAAACTGGGCGGCTCAGCATTTTGTTCACTTTCATTTCTAGTTCAGTAAGTATCGTGCCAAACCTCCTAAACCTCCTACCTGAGGCCAGTAATCATGTCATGAGGCCAGTAGTCATATATAGAATCTCGCTTGATAAGAATCTCATGTCAAATATCATTCCATTCATGTCAAGATGAGATTCAAAAAAAGTCACAACATAACAACAACATAGCATTGGAGATCTAGGAGATCACTATAGCCCTCCATTCGTGTACGTGTAGTGTAGCTCGCTTACGCGTATACATCCGTGTGTAAGTAAACAAAGAGAGAAAGTAAAGCAAGAGACAGGCACATGTATTTCCAAAAAAAAACAAGACACATAAAAGTGAGCAAGACAAGACAAAGAAAGCACACAAAGAAGGCTGTAAGCACACAAAACAGGCTGCTTGTTCATTATGCTGCCTGATTATTCCCATTCCACCTATCAAAATGTTCTTGATAAGATTTGATCCAAATTGGTATCTTGGTAGCATCCAGCCCGGAAGCGTTGCGATGCTTCCCAAAGACGTCCTGAAAAGGCAGAGACTCATAATCTTTGAACCTCAAACTTACAAAGTGGTCCTCGTTGATAAATGCAAGGACAATTGGATCTTCTTTCTTCTTGTTTGGCAAGGTGCAGTAAGGGAAGAAGCTATTGCAGTACGCTATGTTTGGATCCAATAGAATAGTTGGCCACTTGTAAGTGCTAGCGGTGACATACCCCATATAGGGCATTCGCATCCAATAGTCTTTAGTGCATTCAACTGCCTGAAAGTCCAGTTGAGATAGCATATCTTGCACTACCTCGGCGCCAAAAGAATGCTTGCTGCGAGTCTTCACCGAGGTCCGCGTTGAGGGAGACAATATCAAATGCTCATGGTCTTCAGCATGAGCAGAAAGCTCAGCAAGCAACTTAGTTCTGACTTCCAAATAAGAGTCCGCAGAATAATTTCCAAGCGATGCCGCCACCGCGTAGTATTCACAGTTACCGAGGGCAGGAGGATTGAAGGTAGATTTGACATACGGCACGATGAAATCTGGTAGTTGCTTCAATATTGCTTCTTCCTTAACTACGTTACCCTCTGCTATGTCTACATCACATCCTTCTCCAAACGGGAATACCACCGAACCAAATACTTGGCTTGCTTCCAGTGTTTTCTGTACTTTAGGATTGGTTGGCGGCAGGACCAAATCTTTGGCAATGAGCAAGAGAGCTAGCTCAGGAACCAGTACATGACGAATGAAGTAATCTTTTGGAAAAGGGGCTGCGTTTTTACCAGTGAGCTTGTTATTAGGCAAGAAGAGCTTGGTTAAGGTCCGGACCATGACCTCAAAACCAAGTTGGCCATAGCTACAACAGAAGCACACGGGTCAGATGGCCTCTCAATAGACAAAGATGACAGGGACGACACTCACTACCCAGGCTGCTCGACCTCAAAACCGTCGAACTCTCCACTCATAGAGAACATGTACCGTCCCTGGGTTTGCTGTTTTTGTTGGGCACTGGCAAGAAACCCTGAGGGTATGCTTCCGTCAATGATTCCTTCTAGATGACAAGCCAGTTTATGAATGTGTCTAATAGAAGATTGTCAGTCAAAATTGTTCAAGGAGAATCAGCAAGCTTGATGAATGACTGCTTACTGATCAAGAAATTCAAATTGGATGCTTATGGGCCAGCCCTCACGCTTTCCAAAGGGGATAACATCCCTTTTGGCCTGATGGAGTGAACAATATTCCGCAGTTTGCGGAAACTACAGTGGGAAGTAATAGTAGGAATGAGGGAGTGAGTAAGCTGATACAATTTGATCTTACGCAGTGAAAGGAATAGAGTAACCCACCGGTAAAGACAAGTAGTTGGGTAAAGCTAGTAGACTCGCATGTAGCTCTTGAAGCCTCTTCAAAGGAGAAGAGGGCAGGGGTTCATCACAGAAAGCACACAGGTTCTCCAATTCAAACTCTGAATCAATGTTGCGACTGGAGTCCGAATCCTCAATGTCCGGGTCCATAAGACGCTCTTCTACCGCGCGAGTTTCTTTATTTAAATCAACTCGGACACCTGAGTTGACTAGTGGAGCACTGGTTTGATTGGTTTCCTTGACTTGGGGACAGCGATTCGCGCGATGGTCCGTCTGCTTGCATTTGCTGCATTTGTAGATGCACTTAGTAGGTTGAGAGGCGTTCGCATCTTTTTGGATATCAGCTTGAGACGTGATGGGTGCCTTTCAAGACTGAGTCAATTGAGATCTAGTGGGTTGTCCTGCTTGCAACAAAGGACTTTGATGAGCAGACCCTTGAGTTGGAGCAACTTGCGTTTGAGATTTTCGGCCTTCCAGAGCGGCAGAGACAGTTACAATAGACGAAAATGAAAGTTGGGAGCGAGTTGATTGGGTAGTTGGCACTGCAGGTTCTTCTTCTTGAAGTTTGAAATCAGCCATTTTGGTGTCTTCATTGGCCAATCTAATGGCACAAGTAGTTCGGGTGCGACCGCTTTGTGAACAATAACCACAATTGGGCCCTCGTGTTTTTTTGGCGGCTCTGGCGGCTCTTTGAGCTTCTTCAAGTTCCTCCACCTTGTGTTGAGGTTTCCATCTTCCTTCTTTCAATGTGGATCCAGGCTGTTTGTTAGGTTGGTGACGTGGCCGGCCGCGATTGTGGAACTTGACTACTGCATTCTGAATGGGAACAAGCGCGTACCAACCAGTTTCCAACTTTTCTAGCTCTTCGTAAACTTTGCGGAGGGAGTGTTCATCCAGTTGAAGCATTCGATTGATCCTGCATTGAACAGCTGTTTTGAGAGCATCGAGATTTTCTGGAGGTACCTCCAGAGACAAATGCCATTGTTGGTGTACAAGGCTGGGTGAGAGATTATCGGATTCTTCCAGAGCCCGAGCCAGTTTGTGTGAGCAGGGCAAACCCCAAGTGCCACGGAAGGTCTTACTACACGCCTTTTCAAAAGAACCGGGAATGAGAGCATATTGAGCTTTAATTTTTGTGAGAGCAAAATGGGAAATGACACCGTGCATGTTGTGAAAGGAATCTGGGAGGCCAAGAAGGGTTTTTTGACTCTTGACCCCGGTCAAAGTCATGATTTCCTTATATTGGGATTCTCCGGCGCGCTTGAAGGCCTTGAAGCAGGTAATAAAATCGTTATTACTCCCATCGAGAAAGCTTTTGAGCCAATGGTGTCCTCCCTTGATTCGGGAAGTCAAAGAATTGCCAAAGTGAGGTGTTTGAGAAGTAAACAGAGCAACGAACTTCTTGGTGCGGTACAACCAAGTCTTTTCCAAATAGTCCAAAATCTGATGTTGTCGAGCCAAAGACTTGACAGCATCCAGGTTTTCATCATAATCTGACTCAGTAGTGCTCTGAATGAACCAATTTCATACCTCAAGGAACTTATTCCACTTGTCAGAGGGCATCTTCTTCTTGCAGTTCTTGGCTATGTTTGGATTAATGTGCCAAATGCACAGAATGTGAGTCGCACTAGGAAAGACTTTGTCAATGGCATTGTAGAGAGCTGGTTCTGCGTCCGTGCAGAAGGTTTCAGGCAGTTGAATGTTGCTGTTTTCCGAGTCTCCATCAAACACAAGGGATTTCAGTTGCTCCAGAGCCCAAGTATAACAATCCTCGACCTCGCTGTGTAAGAAACACAAAGCCACAGTAAAGGTTTTGTGAGTGTTTGTTGTACCCAAGATGTGGAGCAGTGGAATATTGAATTGGTTTGTCTTATAGGTGCAATCAAGTCCGATGACGGTTGGAAAACGTCGAGCCAGTTCGATTCCTTGGGGGCTGGCCATGAACAAGGATTGAAGCGTGCCGTCTTGAGCGGTGGTTGTGCGGAAGGCCCAATGGTTTTCAGTGATTAAATCAAAAAGACCTTGTATGGGAGTTCGACCACAGAGCCAGGCATCTCTCTGGCGGTAAAGAGCGTTGCAAATATCCCTGACCAAATGTTCCGTACCGGGGGCGAAATTGATGAGTTGATGGATCTGCCAAGCACGACAGCCTGCTGAGGAGAGAAGCTCAATCTGAGCTTGTACATCAGGACTGAATTGCCGGTTTTTGGAAAAGTTATTGGGTCGATCGAAGGGAGGATGGTCGTGTTCATGTTTTGCTGGGGTTTTTTGGTCTTGCTGGACAATCCAATGGTTGGATCAAGAATGGTAGTTGAGAGGTACCTCAAAGGGGCAGTTGGTCATCTTGGTGGCACTAGCCCGAACCTTAGCAACTGATTTGACCGGTTGTCCAAGAGCGCACCTGAAATAGATGCACACCTTTTGATGGTGCTCCGTCTTATGAGATTTAATTGAAATCCCATATACTTGATGTCGAGCTACGGCGTCCATATACATGATGCTGCTGGCCATTGCAACAAACTCCTTTCCATAAGCAAGGGATTTCAAAAGCCTCACCAGCTCAACTCCCATACATTCATTAAGTCATGATTAATGACTTAATGATTACAACATTCAGCAAATGATACGGTGAAGAAAGGGAAACTTA